GAAGTTTGCACTTCGTCAAAAAAAATCTCCTAATCATAGTCTTTTCATACAAAAATACAAAAAATGACACTTTTTTTCATTATACATGTTATTTTTACAAGTGAACGTTGCACTTCAAAAAATCCCTGAAATAGTCTTTATACAAAAAAATGAAGAATAAATGAAAATCAACTACTTTATTTTCTATCTTAAGGAAATCCATGAAAATTATGAAATCAAGGTAAAAAAGAGGTGAAAAAACAGGTGAGATTCTAACCTTCTACCCTAAATTATATTTTTGGGTCCTTTACATTCATTACGATGAAGTCCTTGACACAAAACTTACGAAGAAGTCTTGACAAAACATTTACGAAGATCTTGACAAATTCAAGAGGTAGAAAAGAGTTAGAAACAGTGTTAGATCTAACCTTCTACCCTAAATTATATTTTTGGGTCCTTTACACCATTACGAAAGAAGTCTTGACAAAACATTTACGAAGAGTCTTGACAAATTCAGAGGGTAGAAAACAGTGTTAGAAAACAGGTTAGATTAACATGTTAACATAAATTATATTTTGGTCCGGAACAACTTTCTCTCATAGGGGCTGTGCAATACTCTTTGCGTAAGCGTTCAGAACCTTCTTCGAAACTCTTGGTCTCTCTTCGATTTGATTGAGATTGGAATTGCTGGGGTGGAGCTTGCTGGAACATCAAGTTGGGAAGTAAGGCATAGGCAGAGGAGGGTATTCGGAAGCCTTGTGGGTGGTAGTAACCTTGAGGTGGAAATTGTAGAAATTCGGAGGTACTTGCTGGAACTGAGGTTGCTGAGGAGACTGTTGTGGTTCTTTATTTCCTCTGGTTTGGGAAAGGACTCGGTTGGTGGGACATCGGCAATTCGTTTGTGTCCTGTCGGAAGGAAAAACTTTCTGTTGAAGGAAAACACTTTTCCTGTTGGAAAGGAAAAACTTTCCTGTTGGAAGGAAAAAACTTTTTTCGTGATAGGAAAAATTTTTTCTGTCGGAAGGAAAAATTTTTCTGTTCGGAAGGAAAAATTTTTTCTGAATTTCGACAAAAAGTTCCTAATTTTTCGAAAATTTGAATGGTTTACGGACGGACAACTCGAAAATTTTTCTTGTCGTCGGAAAAATTTTTCTGTCGAAGGAAAAACTTTTCCTGTCGGAAAGGAAAAACTTTTCTGTTGGAAGGAAAAACTTTCTGTCGGAAGGAAGGACTCGGAATGCCAGAAGGATTTGACGAGGCAGTTTACCTAATTTAAATTAACGACTGCGTAAAAGACTACTTGCGCAAGGTCATGAAGCCCAAGGTCAAGTTCACCACTATTTCTGGAAGGTCTACACTTCAGCTCGAGATTGAAACCGGAATTCCAATTGAGGTACCAGACGGGACAGCCTACGACGACATAAAGGACGCCAAAAGAGAAGCTCTTGTTAAGTTCCTAAACAAACGTCCTTGGATAAAATACCAAACAGAGGAGTCCAATTCCACGAATTATACAATTCTCAGAGCACTGTTCCACTTCTCGGGTCAGCCGTTCTACATAACCTCAGAAGGCGACATCCAACCAGTTCAGTAAACCTTAACGTTTAGAGTAAAAACATTTTTTTATGTTTTTTGTGAAAGTTTTAAAATAAATTGTTTTCATGAGTTTTCTACGATGTTAGAAAAGTGGTTAGAAAACGTGTTAGATCTAACATGCTACCCTAAAAGTATTTTTCAATACTTTTTCAGCACTTTTCCGTAGTTATATATGAAAGACAATTCGAGATAAAAGTCATAGTACAATGGAATAATATGTTGCACACCATTTGTTGTGAACCAAACTTGAAAGTCAGAGAAACTGTTACTAGGTGGTTCGTAGAATTTAGAAGCAAAGTCATAAAAGTCCTTACCAATACATAGAAAACTATTGTTGCTTGAACTGAAACTTGCATGACACATAACATTTTGAGGGTCAAACACGTTTCTATAAACTGTCAAATCTGCTGGTGGAAGTATAAATTTAAATGGACCATCTGGTGGTAATGGTTCGTTCTGGTTTAGTAACCGAAGAAATTGTGCCCAAGAACGTTTTGTCTACTTTCCAAAATAAAAACTCTGTATCTCTTGGAGGGTAATTTCAATCTTTTGAAATGAAACGGTGGAGTTCATCTTGTCATATTCTAGTTTCAGATAGTATGTTCCATTTAGTAAAGAGTTGTATTTTTTTTTGAATTCCAATAATATTTGTTCATTTGAGTTTGAAAGTCATTTAGAGTTTTCTCAAGACTTTCGTCTGAACGCACTGTAAAGATTCTCATTTCGTCAAATTTGTCTATTAGACCATCAGAACCTTTATACTGCCCATGAAAATATACTGCGAACGTAAATGCGTTAGTTCTATTTGAAAACAAAACTCTTCTAAATCCTATTGCCTTTGCATCTGAGGACTTTGAAGCCAACGAATTGGATAGTCAAACCTGTATGTTCGGGATGAAATTTCTTCATCTGAAATAGTCCTACAGCATTTGTAAAGATATAGTCTAACGGTTTTGTATCTGCTACTTTTTGTTCTTTGTTTTTCAACCTGAAGCATTTAATATATGTAAAATATATTGTTTTAAAGATGGTATGCCATATAGCTTCTTGAATTTGTTAAGAAGTATTTGAACGTATTTTCCATCTGTATCTCTAGTGTTTACATAAGCATAGCCCGCCTTAGTAAAATATACTTGTAATTTCCTATCGTTTACGCCGGTATAAAAGTAAAAGAGTCTTGTTCTTCGCTATAGTAGTAAAACTCAAACGTATGCTTGCCATAGTCTGTAATTTCAATTGTTTCATCTTCTAGTTCGTCGACAATTCGAATACAATATCTCCAAATTTGCCTTTGTTCTTATTGTTTTAGAACGAGTGCCCCAACGTAAGTTTTCAAGTCTATTGTCGTTTCTTATATGGTTTATATGGTCTACAAAAGGTAAATTGTTAGGATTCAGTATAAAAATGAGTTGCAATGACAACATGTTTAAGATAGTGTTTCCCACCCATCTTCATAATAGCATATCCGTCATTTCGCTCCCATTCGCTTAAAACTCTTTTTTGTCTTTTTGTTTCTGACTTCAAATGACTCACAAGTGAATTTCATATTTCTCATCTAACAACAAGTTTCCTTCAACTTGAGGTTCACTAACATCGAAAGGCATGTCCATAAGACGTTCTTCTTCTAACCTCTCTAGTCTGTTTGGATAATTGGCACGTGCTGTTTCCAAATCATTTCGTAGGTCAGACCAGCCAGTTTGTCATAGACTTTTATGGGTCTTCCTTCCTATATTTTAAAATTCTTCGAAACTCTCCAACCATATCTTTGCAACTCTGCTTTTATTCTAGCAGATTTTTCTATCCATTCTATATGGGGCATTTTTATAAAATAAAAAAATATTTTTTCTTTACTTTACATAACGCCTGCTGCCATAAGTCTTTGACGCCAACCCATACCAGCTAATGAAGGTTGACTTGGTTTAGTTTCCAAACTAAACTTTGGTTTTGGTTTATCTTCAGTTTTTGGTTTTCTTCTTCTATCGGTTTTTCGTCACTTTTCGGTTTCTCTGACTTTACTTCACTTGCAGGAACAGTTGTGTCGTCAACATCTTCATAAATATCATATGCCATTTGTTTTTGTTTTCCTTTCAACTTTTTGTGTTTGTTGTAAAGTTTAGAATATTTCGACTCTAAGTCAATGAGATGTTCTATAATGAACTGTTGGTCAGTGAAGTAAACTTTTCCATCTGTTGTCTCGAAAGCTCCTTCAGACTTCAATATTTTATTTGTTGAGAGTCTGTTTCTTTTTTGAGATACTAGCCGTTCCATTTTGAAAAGTGACTTTGTAGTTAGGGTTTGTATTTCCAGACCTGGCACTTTCTATTATTGAATTTTTCTCTTCATCTGTAAGTTCTTTGACAGGTTTTGACAATGGTTCTGAACTTTTGTTTGTGGTGTCAAATCTACCGTTTCAACTTCTTCGGTCATTTCATCTCAGTAAAAAATTTTAGTTTTGGTTTGTTTTCAACTGGTTGTTTAGGTTTTTTAAGTCGGTCTAAAATTCCTGAGGTATAGGAGAACTTGACAAACACGTGGTGTAATGCTGGAAGTCGACAAATCCATCTTGAACCCATTTGTCTCAATGCTGTATTGTTCATTTCATCTCAGTAAAAACTTTACATTCCCCACGTTTGAGGCGGTTGAGGTTGGTTATTGTTTACCCATTGTTGTGCTGGTTATATCCTCTGTTAAAGAATCTTTCACCTTGGTCCATATAGTGTCCTGCTTGGTTATAGTAGTCATTTGCTTTGTTATAATAGTTTCCTGCTTGTCTTCCTACATTGTCCATCCATCCTTGAACTTTTCCTCTTGTTTCAGGATTTGGAATAAGATTTGTTGCATCTCGTGCTACATCCCAACCTTTCTGTACAGTTTGTATAATAGGTTGTGCTTTCTCTTTAAGTATACCTAATGTACTCAAAATCTTCCTTCCAATTCCAAATGCACCTCTGGCTATTGTTCCCACTGCGGGTAAAAATCTGGATGCAACTCCTGCTAATGCGCCAAATAAACCCATTTCTTATGGTTAAAAAATGACGAATCCAAACAAGAACCCCTATGTTTCTAAAGCGACAAAGAAAGCACTCATGGTAAAAATCTTTAGTTCAACCCAAATGCTTGGTTTATGGATATCTTGGAAAACATTCCGAGAGTTAGAACAGATGGACCACCATACTGGCTAATATTTGTTGGTCAAAACACAAGATACTGTGAAGCCATACCATTATGGTCCAAAAATATTTTAGATGTGAAAACTGCTTTGACAATATTCGTTGACAAATACCATCCAACAAAACTGACATCTGACTGTGAAAGTTCTTTCAAATCAGATGATGTAAAAAACTATCTGCGTTCAAAAATGTAAACCAATATTTCATTGTCGACCAAAACCATTCTGCTCTTGGTGCATTGACGGTTGTATAAAAATGTTAAGAGACTTAAACCAACCACAAGGTGGTGAAGCAAATGAAATGTCATATGACGACAAATATAGACACTTCTCCATGGCAAAGATGAGACAAGTTTTAAATATTTACAATAACCGTAAACAAAAAGGTTTGGGAAACCACTCCCCCGAAGAAATGAAAAACAACCCTGACTTAGAGAAAGACTATATATTTAATAATTTAGTCAAAAGAGACAAACAAGAAAGAATGCCGGGCTTCAAACTTCAGAAAGGTGACAAAGTAAAAATAGAAATACCTAAACGCGACCATATGAAAATACTATTGACTATGACAACAATGGGAACCCGACAGGTACTCACATTCGTGTTCGTAAAAAATAGAAGAAAGTATACAAGAGAATATTATGAAGTTTTAGGCAAACATGGCAAAATGTACACACTGCAAGCAGAAGATAAACTACTATTGTCAGACCTCGTTTCAAACTTGTCAAAGTTCAAGGTGGTATACTTTCAAAGACAGTTCCTAACAAATATAAGACAACTCCTGACGAATATGCTAAAGAAGTTGAAAATGACGACTAAGCAATTCTATACCATGCGTAAACTGTCATGTAAGGTGGCATGTATTCTTACTTTGTCCCGTTGTTTGCGTATATCCTGAAACGAAATGTGTATGGTTTCCTTCTCCCCTGAGTGTCACTCCAGTAACAATTTATAGCAAACTTAACGTCGTCTTTAACATCATATCCTTTACCTTTTGTCATTCCTGACCAATCCCAATATCTATGCTTATGCCAACCTGCTTGAGATGTACTTAAATCTATGTAGTGACTGTGTGCAGGTAAATTTTCACCTGAAATCGTTTTACTTCCACCTGTTTCCTTTGAAGAGTTTGCACAATACAAAAACCTGTCGACTATTTGTTCCCATGCACCAACACCAAACATTACTTGAGGACCTCTTGCTTCCATAGATGTATAAATAGAACCTACTGGGTTCATTAAATCAAACATATGAGACATTATAGGATTGTCTCTTTTGAACTTAAAATATAGTGCAACTATTTCAGGTTTCTTCTGGTTTGTGTCAGAATATTTTTTATAATATAATCTTATGTTTTCAGGGTAGGTAAAATCTTGACTATAATATTTATTTCTGTCATCTTCATAATAGTATACTATTCTCGTTTTTTCTATTGCATTATATCTTTTATATCTATAATAATCTAAATATAATGTTAGCTTTTGTTCATCTACATGTGGTGTTCTGACGTCATCTCCATAGTCATAATAATATGGTGCTGGAGCTGGGTCAGGCAATGTCATATCTGTCATTTCATAAACTCTTAAATATTTCTTTTGTTCGTCTCCATATAAGTTTAAGTAGCAGTTGTTGTCTAATGGAACTTTAACTTGTGTACCATTATTCTTTTTATAGCTTACATACATTTCATTGTTATTTTTCGGAATGAGTTTATACCGTGTACCATTTTCTAAGGACTGTACAAACTGCCATCTAAAATATTTATTTTCTTCATTGACAGAAAAGTCACCAACAATAGTTTCAATATTTTTTGTTCCTATCAAACTTTGGTATATTTCATTGACATATGTTTTATCTGCTTTATTTTCAAGGCTAACGTTTAAGTCTGTTATTTCAGAAGATGTATGTGTATGTCCAACGGCACTTTTCCTGTTTAAGGTTTCTTGTAAGTTTGTAATATTTGCAATGGTATGTGTATGTCCAACGGCACTTTTCCTGTTTAAGGTTTCTTGTAAGTTTGTAATATTTGCAATGGTATGTGTATGTCCAACGGCACTTTTCCTGTTTAAGGTTTCTTGTAAGTTTGTAATATTTGCAATGGTATGTGTATGTCCAACGGCACTTTTCCTGTTTAAGGTTTCTTGTAAGTTTGTAATATTTGCAATGGTATGTGTATGTCCAACGGCACTTTTCCTGTTTAAGGTTTCTTGTAAGTCTGTTATTTCAGATATAGAATGTGTATGTCCAACGGCACTTTTCCTGTTTAAGGTTTCTTGTAAGTCTGTTATTTCAGATATAGAATGTGTATGTCCAACGGCACTTTTCCTGTTTAAGGTTTCTTGTAAGTTTGTAATATTTGCAATGGTATGTGTATGTCCAACGGCACTTTTACTGTTTAAGGTTTCTTGTAAGTCTGTTATTTCAGATATAGAATGTATATGAGTCTTTTTAGAATATTCGTTTTCAGCTCTTGTCACTTCACTTGACATTTTATTGTCAACATATGTTTTGTCTGCTAGTTCAGGATGAGTATGTTCTTTTGTTGCATAAGCATTGTTAGCTCTTTCTTCTTCTTTTGCTATTGCATCGTCTACATATTCTTTGTCAGCTTTGTTGTCAACATCTGCTTTCAAAAGAAGTTCATTTATAGGTTTCTCGTTTAAAGTTCCTTTTGTTGGATTTATACAGACAGTATGGTTCTTCTTGTCTTGAAACAGAAACTCATCTGTCATTGGGTTTAATGTCAGTTTTAAGTTTCCTTCTTTCAATGACTCAGATATCTTAGAATAGTTTGAAAAGTTTGTTGTGTTCTTATTTAGAGCTTGCATAATGAGTTGTCGGTTGTGTTGTATTTCTCTCATAGACGCTGTTTCATTTGACATTTTTATTCTAGATAAAATATGCTTCCAATAGAAAAGAAAATTCAAGAGTTGCTACAACTAAACCATTAGATGAACTTTTTACTAATGTCGGTCAAAAGTTTGAGACAGAGACCGTAAAGCATGAAGGCTATCGTTTTGACTACCCATTAAGATGGCTAAGAGACCCATCTGTCACAAAAGCTATTGGCTTTCGTAGAATGAAGTTCATTTCAGAAGCCATACATGGTTTCCCATTTACGGTCGGTTTTGAAGTTCGATACTATAACAAAGAAAAACGTATGTATGAGAAATTTGAACAGGGAAAACTTTTACAAGTTAGTTTGCTTGTAAACTTAGAAACAACTCTTCAAGCTTTTCAAGAAAAAATAAACGATATCTATATCGAATATGCAAACCAGTATAACATTGACGAGGGAGAGTACCATCTCGATATTATTTATGACAGGAAAAATGCAACTGTTAAAATCAATAAAATAGAAGACCTTGGAGAAAACGTTTATATTTCTACAAAATATAACAACTTGGCATGGTATAGATTTATGAGGATGTTAAATCAGCCTGCAGCATATCCAGTACACCCAGACTTTTATGAAGTCGAAAACCCTAATGGAACATATGAAAATGTTTTCGACCCAGCTGCTATTATTGTTCATGCTTCATTTTCTGGCGCCCAAAACTCTTTCTTATGCTTGGCAAATGACTTTTACGAAAAACCTACAAAGTTATACGAACCACCAAGTGGAAGTATTTCAGACTTTCAAGTATGGTTTACTACAGATGGAAGAAAAAGAATAATTCCATTATACCATGCGTTTTACTTAGAACTTAGTTTCATATACAACTACTATCGAACGGTAAAAATATAATTTTTTAATACGGTTGAGGTGTTGGATTTGGTTGCCAACTAGACTGTGGTGCAGGTTCAGGCTGTTGTATAACAGGAGCTTGTTCTTCTGGTTCAGGGTCTTTAGGTATAATACCAACGAACTGACCTACTCTTTTACCAATATTTTTGACTCCGTTCCAAATTCCTCTTCCGACAGATTTTATTCCATTCCATATACCTCTTCCAACATTTCGAAAGAAGTTTCCAATACTACTGAAGAAACCCATTTACTATATGTAAAAATCTAATGTCCGCCTAGTCTCTTACGTTTCCTGTTGAGTTCCATAGCATTCTTTAACTGGAGCTCATACATTCTGTTTCTCCTCTGGTAGAAAACATATTCTGGGTCAACTCCTGTGTTTGCGTCATCTGCATAAAGTTGTTTATATCCCACTTCAGGGTTTGTATAAAACTCTTTCCATCTCATATTTGCATACCATGGTGGCAAACCTAACGCAGCGTCATTTGACATGGCAGTTTGCATTTGTACATCTGTTGGCACTTGACCATAGTTTGCCATTGCAGTTTGTATTCTAACTTCATTTGGAATATTCTCTGGGTTTGGTTGTCCAGGTTGCTGTGCATTCGCTAAGTTCTGTGCGTCCATTTAATATTAGATAAAAATATCTCTTACGAGTACATATGCTGAACATTTGCAGGCATTGGTTCATCTTCATATTCTCTGTACTTTTCTGCCACGTCAAATAAATAAATGACACAATGGAAAAAACCTAAAACAAGTAGTCCTATTTCAAACCACATTTACTTACTAATAAAATTTCTTTGTTATGACACTTTCTCCGGTTTATAGGACCTCTCTCATATTCTATCTTGTCATATCTAAACTCATAGTCATGTATGTCCTCTAACCATCTCATAACGGTTTCCAAACCACTTTTATCGGATGTAAAGTAAAAGCATGGATGGTTATGTAAAACGTCTAAAGTTTCTAAAGAGTCTCTCAAAGTCCAGTCTACTTGGTATTGAAAATCCCATGTGTTATAGAACGGCGGGTCCACTATAAAGAAAACATTTTCCTTGTCTTTATATTTTTCATACAACTCTGTCCAATGACATCTCACAAACTCTATACCCTCAATATATTTTTCTATGTCCTCTTTGAAAACATTTGTATAGTTAAGATATAAAACTTTTGACATAAGTGTTTCAATGTCATGAACTCTTATAGAACCACTATATAATAGTCTAGCAGATATACTATCCCAGTCTATATATTCTGCTTTTTTCAAAACCTCTCTCACAATATTTTTGTTATCTAATGGTATACGTTCCATCTTACCTATAGGTATCTTTTCTTTTAACTCTTTCAATATATTGTTTGTATCTGGTATATGTTTGAGACGGTCCATATAGTTGTCGAAGTCATTGCATATAATCTTTGAGTCTGGGAATATTGTATGACATAAATGGGATATATAGAAACTTCCACCGAACAAATCTACAAATGTTAGACCATTCGGTAGTTTCTTAAGTTCTCTCAATATAATATCTTTACATCTACTCTTATTTCCAAAGAACGGTAACGGTGGTTTTGTAAAATTCATTTATATATAATAATAAAAATGTTTTTACCCGAAAAGTGATAGAAAAGTGACAAAACATGAAAACATATATAATTTGTGAAAAGCGACACAAAAAGTGTCACCGGCTGGTCGGCTGGGGTTCGGTCCTCCTCTTGGGTCTTGGGCAAAATTTCTTAGGGCTAGAAGGGGCGCAGCCCCTGGAAGCCCCTCATACCTGACCTAAACAACATTTTATTAACATGTATCAGTTCAAAAAACAAATAATAATAATAAAAATGTTTTGTATAAAACATTAAATTAAATACAACCAAACATGGTGATAAAACTGAGAGCCTTGTTCTTTCATCATAGCTAATCTGGCACCATTTTTCGGTTTCTCGACATTTATACTCAAGTCAAAAGAAGAGGGAAGTTCCTCGAACGATAATGAGTTTACAAACCCGATTCCCTTTCCTTTTCCAGCCAATAATGAGTTTCTTCCATCAGAAACAACTCCAATTCTCTTTCTCTCTCCTTTCAATTCTATTACTTTGCCGATTGATTCAATATCTTCTTTCTCAGGAACATATAAGATTGCAAATCTTGAGGGAGAACCTCTTCTGCAGCATACAATCTTAACTCTTGCAAAAGCATCGTCTATTGGTTCCTTTGTTAAATAGAAAGGAGTTGGAAATTCGAAGAATGAGAGGTCAATTCTTTTTCCTGGAGGTTTTGAGTTGTTTTCCTTTGTGAGTTCGAGCATTTCTCTTGTCCATTCCTTGAATCCTTCCTCTGTTTCTGGTCTAGACTGTGGAAATGCGAACTTATTCGATTCTAATTCGATCAACCTTGATTCTTCAAGTCCAATAGCCCTGGCACCTGTCTTTACAAGTGATCTCCATGCTGCGGCACCTGTTCCAAATGGAAGAATCATAATCCATGATGAGCCAAATTTTGAAAAAGTGACACGTTGAATTAAAATCAACGGTAATCTACCTGTTGGACCATCTGCTGAAGGGAAGAGGAGTTTTGCACGCTCTGCATTGAAGTTTTGGTTGCTTGGAATTGGGCATTCGCTGCATCCATTGAAAAGTGACGAATCTGAAAGAGATTGAACGAGATCTGGTTGAGAGAATATATCTACTGGTGTTCCTGTGACTTCTCTTGTGTATTCTGATGGTACAGAACGTGGATCCGATGAGATATATGAGATGGAAAATCCTGGAGGGACTGTTCCTGGTCCTTTCAAGGAGTAGAGCGTATTAACGAGTTGTTCTGAGTTCTCTTTGTTAGGTGGTAATGCTTTGAGAATGTTTTCTGTAGATTTTGGTCCGAATAATTCGAAAATATTAATTTCTCCCTCTAAAGATCGGACTTGGAGACCTTCAAGAGAAGAAATAATAACAGATGTCAAAAGTGGATGACAAATGCACCACAAGTGATCACCAGATATCCTGTAAAACTGTGCAGGTCCGATTGCACATTCTGGGTATTTATTTGGTGGGTATAAGTCTAATTCGAAAAGACTACGTAACGATGGCTCAATGTATGTGTCTGGTGCAACCATTGATTGGAGGCGTTCGTTGATGGTTTCAAGGGATCCTTTAATATCTATAATGTTTGTGTAAGATATATCTCTGAGAGTAGATGTTTCTGATGTCTGTCGTATCATTGATCGTGTTCCTTTCATTGTTGGCGAATAAGGAATTTTCCATCCCCATAAATCTTTGATGTGAAAACGTTTTGCATGCCATAAATGCGTTTCAAGCCATTTGTGTTTCTCATTTCTGTGCTTACATAATTCCCTTCCATGTGCTCTGAATTGATTTGGATCACGACCAGAAGGTTTGTTTCGAGCTTTCGCTTGTGCTGCACCGGCAACTTGCTCTTCGACTGATTTCCTCATCTTTTTTGGAACTTTCTTGATATCATAGCTCATTGCTCTCCTTCGAAGATGATTTGGTAATTTTTGGAATACGCGTTTATGACCTGGCTTTGAATTTTCCATATTCTTGATCATTTCGGATATGGCTGGATCGCATCTTTTCGCTAAATCTGCTACTTTAACGTCTGGAGAATCACCCATATCCCAATTAAAAATCAATGGGTCACTTTTTTGTGTCACGTTTAGAAATAATGAAGCACAAGAAAAAAATGTTTGATAATGAGAGTTAGAAATGAACTTTTTACATAAACTGATTTAATGAAGTAAGCCAGAACTATTGGTGTTGGTTTCATCAATAGTTTTTGTTGAAATCATGTTTGGAATTTTCAAATGGCCATATGAATTGAATAGGTTATGTTACGTTATAAACCAAACTAAAAATTAAGAAATGTGAATCCGACATCGTTCATCGGTTAGGATAAGCGGTTCTCATCCGCTGGAGCGGGGTTCGACTCCCCGTGTCGGAAAATTCTTTTTTATTTTTTTTCTTGACTGAAGATGGAATTATTCATTTGAAGATAAGTCAAGCTTTTTTTGCTTGTGATTTACTTTCTTTTTAATCATGTATAAGCTAATCAATGAAATTCATTCATTTTAAAAGATTATCAAAAAAAGAAATTTGAATCTTAAGGATATAAATGTTTAAAGTCAAATAAACACAAACAAAGTATTATAATAATATTGCTTAATACTGATATTAGGCTGATTGTAAGTTAGTCAAGATTGTATTGAATAAATCCCTCATATTATCTATTGAATGTAATTTATGTATAGCAATATCGTCCATTTTTCTGGTCCTGAATCTAAAATGAAATGGTAATTCTGGATTTATTATTGGATCTAAAATTTCAATATCTGTAAGTTGAAAACGTATTTTCTCTGTGGTCTTCTTTTCGATTAATACTTCTCCTTGATTAACATTCCATTTTTGGCGGAGTGCTAAAATAGTATGTGGTTTCACGGAAATTGAGCAATCTCTTAAGTATTTCGGTTGAGAAATCCATTGTTCGCGTTGTTTTTTACAAATTTTGATTAAAGTTATGAGATTAAAAGTTTCATATGTATAAATATAAAGTCTGAAGTTGCGCATTGGAGGTCGGGTACCAATTATTTCAATAACATCCGGTTTTGAACTATTTGATGATGGAATGAACTCTGCAAAGCCTAAATGAATTGTTGAGAATAATTCGCGCTCTTCTGTGTTTTCTTTCACGCTGTAGAAATCAAGGTAGTAACTGTTTATTTCACACCAGTATGTTATCCATGCATTTCCATCTAAGGATACGTTCAGAAACATAAATTCGAAAAAAAAATAAAGAAAATTGTCAAAATTTGGATTGATGTAATAATTAGAGTATAACATAAACAAGCAAATTACCATCTTTTTTAGGTGATATCAAAGATTAAAAGTGACACTAGCTCGGTGAATTTGGAAAATAATATGTTTTCTGCCGAGGAACTTACGAACTATTTTGATAACTTACCAAGAGATCTAACCATTATTATTGGATCTAAAACCTACAAAGCAAATAAGCAAGTAATGTGCATTTTTTCAGGAATAATTCAAGAAAAATTGCAAAATTCAGCTGATAATGAAATCAAACTCGAAATTGAAGATCCAAAGGAGATGATCCCATTAGTTATTTCATTTTTGCACGGTCATCAAATCAATATTTCATATGAAAATGATTTTTATTTGAACAAAATAAGCGATGAACTAAAAATCTCATCGCTTAAAGAAGCTGTTCAGGAATCACTAAATGAACCTATTACAATATCTAATATCATTTCACGTTTAGAACAAAACACTTCCCAAGTATTAGAAAATGAAAATAGCGAACTACTTAAATTCTTGGTAGAAAATATCGAAGAAATACAGAAGGATGATAGTTTATTCCTTTCTGATCCTAGAATATTACTAAAAGCTTTAGAAAAATCAAAATTTGAAAATGATGATTCGAAAAACATTTTCAAACTCAAATGTGCTTCAAGGCATATCGATAATTTTGATGATTTCCTGTCTCTCGATGATTTCCAGCACATGTCTATTGATGTAATCTGTGAATTCGTGACTAATCCATATTACAGTACATTAGATCAGAAAATGCCTTCAATACTCATAGCATCACGTATTGTCTCCGCAATCACATCATTAAATACCGATATAAACGAAATTAATGAAAAAATACAAAATTATAATTCCGAAATTAAAGAATTACAAGAAGAACATGATAGAGTTATGGTCGAAAAATGCCAATCCGATGAAAAATACTTGAAAGTTGCAGAACAATTCAAACAATTTAAATTACAAATGATTTCAACCTCAGAAAGGATTGAATCTCATGCCAATTCACTAAACTCTTTCAAGATTTCCGAAAAAACAGTGAATGAAATTGGTTCTAAGCTTAATTTCTTAAAAGTTACTTGTGAAAGGCTCCAATTCTTCTCTGAGAGACTTTCTAGAGCTGTCATATTATACCCTGAGACAACAAAGAATGTCAATCAGGTTTATAACGATTGGAAAGGAAGTATTGCGCCATTACAGCAGGAAATCGCTAATTTAGAATCAAATGAAAAAGATATTGATAGCATAGCTGCAGATTTCCATAAATTGGTTGAAGCAATTCGAAAACTTTCCAATATATAACTTCAAATTTTCATTTGTAAAATTATTATGTTTATTATAACTAAATGTTTATTATTTTTGATAACTTAACTTTTAATAATGATATCTTTCTAAAATAAGTTGGGCAATATTTGAATTTTTGAAAAATTTAAATATAAAACCGAAATTATTAGAGGAAACTTTTATTTATGAGTTTATATTGTTAATGATGTATGAATTATAGTCGATTGTAAGATGTTTTTCAAATGACTTCAACTTGTCTTTGCCATTAGTGAAATTACTATATTATTGAGTATTACGATCAATTAAATTATATATTTTGGCAATGTTATTAAATGTCATCTGAAGTATATCTGATTCCAATGCAAGGTGACAGACCTTTGTTTTTGGAGCAAAGGCAAGAATTTGATAGATATACTATTCCAATTGACTTCTCTCCACCTTTTTTTCCAGACAAATCTTTGTATAATTACAATATGGAACCTGTCAAATACTACAATGAACTTGTTGCTTCCGGTGGCATTGATCCATCCCCAATACTGATTGGGAAAATACTGTTTTTCAGTCAAATTTCGCCACATGCAATCAGTCAGATTTTATTTATTCCACGTAGGCTGCCATTAAAGTTCCTTCATTCATTCTTTTTGGCTCCAATTATAGAATATATGGACTTTCTACATGCAGTTTCCATTTTATTTTCAAGAATCGCATTGCCAAATTCAACCAAATACTTAAAAGCAATATTTAAATACTCAGGACGAGTTCTACATCAAAATGGATTCTATCCAATCATATCATCTCATGATGTTTCAGTGATTGTTAAACTTTGCGTTTATTATTCATCGCTAAAGTCAGCAAATTCCGATGTTTCTTTAATTGATTTCACAAAAAAATGCTACCAGATAGGAAATTTTTCCAAACTAAAGCCTCTTACACTAGAATTATTATATCAAGAGTTAACTAAGCGAATTATTCCTTTATACTTCACATTTTGTGATCCCAGATATCCTCCAAATTGTGAGCATCAAGGTATTTTGTCAATAAGATCCCATGTTATGCGAAAAATGAAAAGAAGGCATTTTAGAATCACAAATGACGTTCTTGTTTACGCTTTAGAAGATACACCTGATCAGTATTTCGGAGGAGTCGAAATAGATAAGCTCATTTTCATTGCTCCGGCTCCAAAAGAAAAGGATCCAAATTCTTTCATGTTAGTTGGGAAGCATGAAGAGAATATTGTCTTTGATATAGAGAAAGGAAAGAGAATGCCTTCTGATAAGCAATCTCTTGTTTTGTTTGCTGATTCCCACGAAGATCTCGAAGGTTGGAGAAGTTCCTTAATGTTTTACTCATTCAGGAACACACTCACAAACCTTATTGAAAAGTAGAGTTATTCCTATCTTTGTTTGTAAATATCTTTATTTGCAAAATTTAATATTTTTCAATTTATAGGTCATATTTTGATTATATATATGATTATGTCACTTATCACGATATTTTATAAGATATTTTCCTTTTTATCATTAATCTCTGTTTGATTTAAAGAAGATTTTTTAAAAAATTAAAGTACAAAGAGAAGATTTATCAAAATTTAATGTCTTTCATATTGATAAAAATATTTTACTAATCATACTTAATAGTATATCTTAATAACATATCAAGATGTTTCAAAATTAGTTGTTTCGTTTCTTTGGTAATGTTGGGACCAATGAAACGTTTTGAAACAAAAGCTCCTTTATCTTAAAGAAAAGATGCAATGGATAAATCATTATTATCAACTGCAATTTGAAGTGGAGATTTCCTTTCTTTGTTTTCAATGTCAATTAAACATTTCTAATATAATATATATAGGGTAAACCCACGATACTGTAGTATCTCAATGAAAAATGAAACATTTTCGGGATTTAAAAAAATGATGTTTATTTTTTTATTGACACAAAATAATAAAAAATAGCAAAATTATTTCTTGACATTCTTCTCTTTCCATAACTTACAAAGTCTCTCATGTTCAGCCTCATTTCTTAACTCTGGTGGTGTCTCTAAAGACTCTTTGAGCTTTGCAGCCAATCCAACCAATTCGTTCATATCATTCATTTGTTGAACGAATCTTTCATGCAACAAAGGACCGACATTCTTTGCATTAGCTCTTATATAAGTAGCTATGTACTCGAGGACTGACTTTTCGAAGGAGATTCCTGGCATCTTTGGTCTCCTTTCTGTCAATTCAACGATGCACTCTGTGACAACATCTCCGACACTTTGTTCCAAGTAAGGAACTGTCAACAACTGGTTTGTTGGTGTCATTCCTTCAGGAGCTCCAACAGGGCGATGAGGAGGAAGCTTCACAGTGATGTATTGACCACTGTTTGCGCAGAATTCAAGTAAATTCTCTTCTTTCTCGAAGACGAATTTCTTTCCTTCAACGACGGCAAACAAATTCTCTTGTCCTTTGATGAACTTTCCTTTCTGGAGTTCAATGACATCGTAGCCTTCGAGTTCTGGCTGCTTTCCATTGTCATTTTCCCGCTTGGCAATTGGCAATTTCTTGCCAGACCAATTATAAATGAAAGGTGTTGGAGAAGTGAGAAAAGCATCTCTTAAATCAGCTGTTCTCATGTGATAAGCCTTTCCTTCGAAGAAAACGATGTTCTCCCAGTCCTTGCTGTTATTTTCAACAGCGACATTGTCAGCAATCAAAGTGATTGGACAGTAATGGCCGACACCTTCTACAAGGCCTTTTTCGACCATTTCAGGAGACACATCCAAAGCGGAAACAGAATATGGCCTCTTCTCATCAATAGCCAACAAACTCTCCCATCTCTGGTTCATGTTGTAGTTGAGTCTTTCTGTTGCCTTGATGAGTTTCATCCATGTTGTTGTTTCTTGTGAAACATCAATGACATTATGGAAATTCTCAATGGAGTGCTGTATTAACTGTTCATCTCCTTTTACAACAACGATGTCGCTTGGCATGATTCCTGCTGTTCTCATTCCAAGTAATTCGGAGAGTTTCATAGGATATTCATCCAATACGAAACCTCTTACTTGGCAATCGTGTCTTGTAAGAACGGCGCTGAGAGCTTCCTTGAAAATGGATGCATCAACGGCACCTCCACTTGCAAGAGTTTTTCTGATCTTTGCACCGAATGTTGTTGAATGCTTTGCAACTCTTGCGATGACATCTCTTGGCCTGATGAGTTCCGCCTGAAGAGAATCAGCGAGTCTTGCAGCGAGTTCGGGAGATCCAAGGACAGAAACTCTTGGAACAAATGGAAAAGCAGGTGGTCTTAATTGTGTGACATAAGTTAATGGATCATCCATGAATTTCTGGCGGTCTTTGTTTGTATCGAAGAAGAAAGCCCTGCCAAGGAATGTGCATGCAATAGAGAGATCTGTTAAATGGAGTGATCCTGTCTCGTGTAAACAAACAGGACAATATCTGCCAAATTGGGATATGAAACATGTGTTCTGTGTTAAGGCTTCTACAGGTTCTTCCAATGGCTGTGACAACTGGGAAAGGAATAATGACTTTCTGTTGAGTAATTCCCTTTGTAAAGCGTTGTTTACCATTTTCATGATGGATGTGAATCTTCTTGAAGTATCAATTGTTATGGCTTCACCTCTTGCTGTGGCCTCTGCAACTGTTGCTGCTACTTCTTTGGCGATTCCGCTCATTTCACCTTCTTCATTCATGATTTGTTCGTCATCTTTCAGTCTGTGGTGGTTTCTGGACAAAGCCCACTTCTCGTCATGTTCGAGATTGATAACGAAATCTGGTTTGAGACCGCTATCTAAGAGCAATTGTCCGGCAGATCCGTGAGCTGGAGTTCCTTCAATGATCCAGCCGAGTTTCTGGTTGTCTGTCTTCTCCATGACCATCTTGTAGAATGGCTCGAGTGTCTTCTTGGTCGTTTCCTCTGGATCTGGCTCTTCTTCCTCTTCATTTGCCCTCTTGAACTCAGGATTTGGAGGTAATTCGAATACAGGAGCGTTGTGCGTCTTACCAAGATTCTCTGCAATAGATGATTTAGAGGTTCCTCTTGAGCCAACAATTAATATTCTTGGTGGAGGAACAGCTGGCAATGGGCCAAGGAAGGCCAATGGTGCTGCCTTGAACCTCTCCATTGCGGTATCATCGGCAAAAGCGAAGTTTGCGCCCATAAAAGTGGCTGTTACATCAGATCCTTGTTGTAAAAGGTTTTTGTCCTTCATTGTGACAGGGCAGAAGTTGCCAAGGTATCCAAATGTTGGTTCGCCTTCAACATCTTCGCATTTCGGAAGCAAAGGATCGGCCAAATAAGCTGCATCCCAGAAAACTTCATCGAGCTTGAGAGAAGCATCGAGAACTTGTAAATTCAAGTTCAGTTCTTTGATCTGTTCTTGGAACTCGTTGAATTTCTCCGACCATTTTTCGATAGATTTCGAGTATTTCTTCAAATAAACTTCATTTTGAGAAGGATCGATCTGTTGGGACTCCAAATAAGTTGAGATTCTTGGTAATAAGAACTCTGGCTCACTCTTCATCTTAAGACAGATGATAACTTCCGGTGCAAGTTTCTCATTTTGCTGGAATACTTTAAGTGGCTCAAGATCCATCGATGGCATGATTGTAATGTAGCCTGTAGTGAATACTGGTGGTAATTCTTCTGGTTTCTTTGGTTTTGGAGGCTCTTCTGGCTTAATTTCACCTTCATCACCTTCTGGTTTTGGTTCTTCAGCATTTTCTTCTGGCTTTGCTTCTTCAGCTCCTTCTTCTGGCTTTGGCTCTTCTTGTTTGGCCTCATCTGTCGTTTCTTCTGTTTTAGATTCTTCAGTTGTTTCCTCAGTTTTTGGCTCTTCTGACTTAGTTTCGTCTTCTGTTTGTTCCTCTGATTTTTCTTCTGTCTTTCCTTCCTCGCTTTTGCCTTCTTCGTCTTCACCTTCAGATGGTTTCTTAATTCTAAGCTTAGTTTCCTCGACAACCGTGTTAAAATCAACGATTGGTGTATCAAAGAACTCGGAAAGTTTGTTGGCAACCGACTTCTTGCCAGAAATATCCGTACCCATTATGATAATACGGTGATGGTATGTATGATAGACTTCTTTGAGGTAATCAAGTGGATGCTGGCAGAACTTACGTTTGTAATCTTCGTTCTTGAAGTAGAAAGTAAAACCGTAAAACTTGATTCCGCATTTTGTATCTCCTTCGACTGTTTCTTTATCATCGACAAGTGATACAACGCACTTGTTACCGACAGGAGAGAACATTGGTTCCTCTTGTTCTTCTTCCTCGTTGACGATAATCGGGTTTGGATAAACAGCTGGAGTAATTATTGAAGCATGGTCGCAAACAATTGCAGCCATTTCCTTCAATGATTGCGTAGCGTCGATCGTTATGTGTTTGTGAGGGTTGTCGAAAACAAATGCGGCTTTTTCGTCTTTGTGCTTATTGAAACGAGCTGTAAGTTGTTTAACTGATTCTTCTGGTAATGTAAGAAGTCTGGCTTTGGCTTCTCCATCTTCTTCTTCGCCATTTAATTTATTAGTTTCATCTCCTGTTTCTTCCGGCGTAGAATAGTTAGGAGCCTTGTAAAGCATGAGTTTCTCTTCTTTCTCTTCTTCTTCGTCACCTCCTTCTTCTGGTTCTGCGTGTTCTTCTTCTTCTGCAGGTTCAATTTCGCGTCCAACGAATTCGCGGCGTTTGAGACGCTGTACGAAGAGTAATGACGATGGTTCTAAGAAGGAAATGATCTTTTCGTCTTGTGGATCGAATTTGCGGGAGTTTGAAATGTCAATAAGGTTTTCAAGGGAAATTTCAAGGTCTACGAGGAAGCAGCGTTGCCACATTTCAGCATCTGATGAGAAAAGCTTATGGAAGTCGAATGTATCCTTCTTAAAAGAGGAAGGAATGATCCAACCACGGTATTTCGCTTCATCTGAAAGCGCGCATTCGACAATAATATCTTCTGCTTCTTGGTATATAATATAACCACCTTGTGTGAGTTTAACTCTTGCAGCTTCGATCTTTGGTGATCTTAAAGGCCAATTAATCAAGTTTGGTATATCAAGAAGGAGTGCGCCTGTTTTGTCGGCAAGAACTTTCTCGAAAAGCTTTGATCTCTGTGTATTAACGCCAAGGACAATGAAACATGGACGAATTTCACTGGCAGCGTTAATTAATGATGACCAGTAGTTGAGAGGAAGTTTCTCTGGCTTGCGTGTAAGAGAAATTAATGTATTTGGTGCAATGTTGTTGAAATGATTTAAGATTTCAAAAAGCTTGTTAATTAAATCTTGAACTTGTGAAGATTTGATTGCAAGTGCGACGTATTTAATAATTGCATCGAAAAATACTTCGTAGGATATTCCTTGCTTTAAATATAAGATTGTATCTGAAGCAACGTTTTGTTGTACAACTTTAGCTGGTGCTTCTGGAAGTAAAAACTTAATAATATATGTTGCATACTTCTGGTATGAATCAATTGTTGCGTTAGTCGTTCCATGGAGCATATCCAAGAATCTGAAGAGGTTTCTCATGTATCCACGAAGGTGGACATTTTGGAAAAGTCTCTTGCAGTCCAATGGTGTCTTCGGAGGCTTGTAGTCTTCGCCATATGCGATGATACCAAGCTGTTTCCTGCAATTCATAACGAATAAGAATTGCCTGAAAAGTGACTCATTGATAACGAACTCTATAACATCACATCTAGTTTTATTTCAGAATCAAAATCTGACATTACTAAGTATATCAAAAATAATAAAAAGGGTCAAATATCTTCAATTTTTGAAATAAAATATAATATTTATTCAGAATTGAGAGGATTTTTGTTTATAAAAATGTAGTACAGCAGTATGTGATTATTTTTATTAATATTAAAAAGGCAGAATTTTGATATCAATTCATTTTTTTGGAAAAAAAATGAGTGAACCAAAGCCAAAAACAAAGAAGGAATTCTCATGGGATCAATACCATGAAAGACAGATTGCCCTTCGTATTGCATATATCGGCTGGAACTTAAAAGGTTTTGTTTTACAAAATGATACAAATGAGACAGTCGAATATCACATTTTTGAAGCTTTAAAGAGAGCCAAATTAATCAGAAACGAAAATGAATGTAACTATTCTTTATGTGGAAGGACAGATGCTGGTGTTTCTGGAGTTGGAAACGTTATTTCCGTCAGAGTCCGTTCAGTCTGTCCAACTGGCCTTGGATCAATACCACGTGAAGGAGCAAAGGTTCAAAAAGAAGAAATGAATTACGCACAGATTCTTAATGGAATTCTTCCTCCATCAATTCGCGTAACAGGAGTTGCTTACGTTAAGCCAGACTTCAATGCAAGATTTGATTGTGCAACACGTGGTTATCGTTACTTCTTCCATAAGTTTGATAAGAATATTGATTTGATGAAAGAAGCAGCCGAACATTTATTAGGCGAACACGATTACAGAGCATTCTGCAAGTTCTCTCCAGACTCTACAAAGCATTGCGTTCGTAAAATTTACAAATGTGAATTTGGAGACGCAGGAGGCGGTGTTTGGTACTTCGAAATTGTCGGATCCGGATTTATTTGGCACCAAATTAGATGTATTGCATCCATTTTGTTTGCTGTTGGCAACGGATTTGAAAAACCATCAATTACAAAGGAACTTCTTAATACAGCAAAGTATCCAGGCCGTCCAAACTATCCTATTGCTGATCCAGAGCCTCTCGTCTTCTGGAATGCTGGATATGAAAACATCGATTGGAAGATTGACGAAGCTGTTGAAAAGAAAATGAAGACAAATTTCGCGTTGCAATTAATTGATGCTGAAATGAGAGCTGCTGTTCTTCGTTGCTTCATTGATGGTGATTTACAACCTCCTGCTGCAAAGAAGTGGTGTCCTGTAGAAAACCTCGATCAATGCAAGTCTGTTGAAGCTATCCTTGCCGAATATGAACGTGAAAAAGGCCACAAACCTGTTGATGCAGGTGATGAATAATTTAATTTTATTTTCTAGCTTTTATTAACATTATTCATATCTGATTCTCATTTTTATATAGATAAATATGTATCTTTTTAAACAGATAAAAAAATTATTTTGAAAAATTCGGAATCTAATAGAAATATGTTTATAACAATAACTAATATAAGTAGATAAATCCATGTGCTAGTGGAATTTTTAAACAGATTGAAATTGCCATTTATTTGTTCCAGAAGGATCATTTTGAACCTCAATCATAGCAGGTTGTGTTGGAACGTATTGGCCATTTGAGGATGGTGACTGAGCTTGTTCGTATTTATCGAGTTTTTGGAAGAAAACCATCATTTGTTTTTCTAAAACTTCTAATTTCTTATTATGGAATGAAAGTTCTGATTTCAGTTCCTGATTACGTGATTCTAAATAGGATAAGCGCTCGATTAATTGTTGTGTTGTTGGTGATTGGTAATATTGTTGTTGATTTTGCACAGGAATCTGTTGTTGTGGAGCAAACTGTTGGTTTGGAGTGAACTGTTGAGGTGGCTGTTGAGGAGGTTGTTGCTGAGGCATTGTTTGTTGGGTAATATTTTCTTTATTGTTATTTGCAGCGGTATTCTTAGCAGAATATTGTGCAATCATTTCTGCGCCTGATCTCTTTTGACCTTTTCTACTTCTTTGTACACCAATATTAAAATAAGAACTCATTCCAAAAAAAATTATTGTTATTGACATGTGATATAAAAAATCTTAAAAATGCAAGATCAATCTCGGTCAACTCAAAAAAGATCAAGGCAAGCAGAGGCTCAAAGTCTCTACGAGCAAATATCAGATGATAGAGAGCTGATTGAGACCATTGGATCAATTTTAGAAACAAATGCTTGCGGAAATCATAAAATTGCCGAAGAATTACAAAACAAATCAATGACTGATTTCCAACATATTATAAATCCGCCGTATTACACTAAATTGGATGCTATTTTTGAACTTGATGAGCCTCCAGTTTGGATTGAGCCTTTAATCGAAGATAAGAAGTGGGCAACTATTATTATAAATCTTGCAAGCAAATATCCTGATTCCAAATTCTTCAAATTCTGCTATAATTTGATTTTCAAAATTCATCCAGAACTTATTGATTCAATTCCAGCAAATTCATTAGGATCCCAAGATTACACATCGTTTTTGATAAAAACAATTACTGCTCCTGATTTCGGACCACAAAATCACGAAAAACTTTTAAGAATTATTCTCACAGATGATTTAACTTTAGTTAAAAGTGCGATGTTGATTTACCAAACCCACAACATTCCTCTGATTTTAGATGTCTACAAATGGATTTCTGCGTCTCCTGGAGGAAAGAAAAAAGCTGATCTCTATTTGAGAATAATTCTAAGCTTCGAGAACTGCTCACACGATATGTTCCAATTTATTATTGGTGAAACATTCGCACAAAGGAACTGTGCAAGATTATGCGAACAAATCATCAACCTTAACAGAGAAATCACTCCTATTACAGCAAAACTCGCAATTACTATGTTTAATAAGGTAGCTTTAACCGATGCAGCTACGATTAAAAAACTTATGGCCAGAGAAGACGAAATTAAACAGGCACAACCTCCAATTCCCCAACAGAACCCGAGCCAAGACCAAGAAAATCCTTCTTCTCAACCTCATGTCCCTCCATCCAATCAACCAATTACAGATGACCAAATTTCCAGAGTTGTTGATGGAATTAAGAATTGGATGGTTGCCAATAGCTTCAGAGATTTCATTGCATTATGCAGATATAGATTTTTCTCAGTTCAACTCGTAGAATTAATTCGAGAACGCGATCTTGCCAAAAATGACCTCGTAAGATACGGAAATTTCAAAGAAACACTTGAAGAAAAGGTTTTCTGCGAAATTGGCTTCAAACACGAAGATCTTCGCGGATATATTGTCAGCATTGTTGGAGATTTACTTGCCTGCAAGTTCGAAATCGATAGTAATTACGATTCTCTCTTCAAAATTTGCAGATGTTTCATTTATTTCGGTAATGTTCAAGAAACTTTGAATAATATGCTTAGAATCAATCCGAAATGCAGAGATGATACGAAAAGAATTATACTTAAATGGATGGAAGGCTTTGAACCTCCATTTTCGCCTTTATTCGTTAATTGTTTGTTGAATCTTTTGTTATCTGAACCTTATTCAAAGGCTGTCTTCATGAAGACACGTCCTGAACTTGCAAAGGGTGTAAAGATGTGGGTAGATAAAGTAACAACCTTAGCAGAACCAAGAATGCTTAATGATATCAACCGTATATTTTCAGATATAATCAGATAAGTGTAATATTTGTTTAATTTATATATTATTTTAAAAAATGTTTATAATTCTCTTAAAAAAGTTTACATGCAAATATTCTTTTTAAAAAACAATAAATTCTAGCAATAGCATTAACATACAGTGAGATTTTGTCTAATATACTGCTTCTCGATATATAATTATTGTAAAATTTAAAAATATAAAATGAATTTTCAAAATTTTTTAGAGAATCAAGAAAGCTTACATCGGAGTAATTTCTATCCATAATAATAGGAATAGATGCCATAAAAATGAGATCGATTTAAAAGATAGTATATATAGAAAAATTTACTAACAACTATTTATATAAATAACAACATAATATTTTCAAAAGTATAAAAACTTTGTGTTCGTATTCATTTGATTTTCAAATCAAGAATAAACAGTAGAAATCGTATATTAAACTAACAAGGCAAGTGTTATGAATTTTTGATAGTTGACTATTGTATTATGACTAGAACGATTACGGGATTTTAAGAGTTGATCATATTTTTCGATATAAAATAATGAAAATTAATTTTGTAAAATGAATATTCGTAATTGGAAACGTGATTGTAAATGTCATATAAGTAGAGGTGTTGAATCGAAATTTGTTCCAAATAATTCACGTGCATCTTGACAAATTGCGCAAGGGGCACAAAATGTTATAATAGCACAGTCGCGTGCTACATCCTTTGGTATACCTTTTTGCTCTTTAACCATTTGCCTCACCCAAAAAGGGTGTGTTTGAAATAAACAATGAAAGAAAGTGCAATTTTCATCTCTAATTCTAGCAAAATTTGAGGCATTTAAGCAGCATGGATAAAAGGTCCCCAAGCAGCAAACTTGCATATCGGAAAAGCATGAAAATAAACCAGTTCGATAAGACCCAGACATTTTTGAAATTTTTGACAAATAAACCTCTTCCAAAAGAGGATTTCTAAGAATGGTTAGAAAGTCAATTTGGGAGAGTGAATTAGAATCTTCACAACCTTTCAACTACTTAGAGCTACCTCTTCCATTTCTTTGGATAGAAATAGCTTCAATCCTCTCAAATGGAAAGTTTTAGCCGAAACAAAAAAAAATCGATCGATCCTCGCGTTTTATTGTCTTGAAAAAAACATCCTCTAGAAGAACTGTAGCAAGATTAGCACTTGAGTATCAAGTTAAACTAATGAAATACTTCCTGTTTACTTCTTAATATTGCTGTATATCTCTTTTCATATAAGAATAATCTCGAAATTGATAAAAGGGTGTTATAATATAATCTTTACATATTTGTAAGAATATACATCATGTGTACATGTATATTCAATATAATTTAATACCTATTGTTTTTGAATTTCAATAAATTTAAGACTTTTTTTAATTCAATTAATATATATTCTTCAATACTTAGAAATTTGATTTCATTCAGTTTACATGATCTATCTATATAATAGAAAATTGATATCGATAAAAATAAATCTAAATTGCAGCAGATCCAAGATAAATCGATTTAAAGTTGATAATAATTCATATTATACTAACACGTTTCATTTCCGTTTCAAAAACACGAGTCTTATTGGCACGATAATTGATAATCTTATTTTTTACAAAATTATTTAAATTTTGAGAAGAAAACGATCGCATATTTTTATCGTAATTTGTCATTTCAACAATGGAAACAAAAACTCTTGTCATGGAAGTTCTAGAAGCTAGATCTCTTTCTCCATCTGATATTAATGGATGGTCTGATCCACTCGCAGTAGTTTATCTAGGAAAAAAGAAAATTGGCAAAACAAAATATATTTCTCGCACTTTAAACCCTCAATGGAATGTTCGCATTGAACGTGCTGATGTTGATATAGCAGAAGATATTCGAGTTGAGATCTGCGATCACGATGTCGTTGCTTCCGATGTATTAGGCGCTGTACAAATTTCCTTGCTTCAATTCGCTGATGGTCGCTGGACAAATCAGTGGTATAGGCTTATGGATGATAAAAATCATCCAGTTTCCGGCTACGTCCGCCTGAAAATTCAATTAGTTGATAATCCTGAGTATGCCTTCAGAGATATGGATCACAATACAAAGCCAGAAGAAGATGATGAGAAGAAGCGCCAGGAAGCTAAGGAAGCTGCAGTTGAAAGAAGAAGAATGCTTATGAAACAACATATTGAAATGGAACAACAGGCAGTTCACATTCAACAATTCAAGCAACAGCAAGATGAAAACAGTAAGATGAGAAAACAAGATCCACAATTTGTTGGAAATTACGATCAATCTCAACCTCATTGAGACTAGGAGTTTAAGAATTAACCAAATGTTTCTTCTTTAATTATTTCATTCTTATTTTAGTTTATTTTTTTCATTGCATTTGTGGAATGCGTTATCATTATTGTTATTTGAATAAATTTAGAAAAATGTGTACTTTTACGGTTTGTTTCATATATAACTTATTGAACTTTCTTGTTGAATTTCAATTTTTAATTTTTTATTCTTATGAAAAGAAACTAAAGCTAACCGGATTCCATCTTTTTAAGGAAAAGTAATTGCTATACATATAATGACGCTAGATATATATGGATTTTTTTTCCTTGGAAATGAAATATTTTCGAATCCAAATGGCGTTTATTTCTGTATGTGATCCTTTAAATGATGAAGTTTTCAGTGTTTGAATTCGAACTTGAATTTACGATTTGATATTTCAAATTGAGGTAAAATCTATTTAGAAAGATGTTCGGAGTATATTAAATAAGTAGTCATTCAAATATACAAACATTTTTTAATGCAATAAAAAAACACATGAAAAAAACAACAAAATAATTAAATAAGATCTAAATTCTCTTTGTAATGGATCTTGGTTGCAATCAAACTATTCCTACGGTTGTATTCTTCAACGCTGAAAGACCTCTTTGGAAGTGTTATCAATGAAGCTGGGGCTAATTTTGATTCTTCGAGGAAATTAGACGATGTGTGCTCTTTCTGGAGTGGAAAACGCTCATTAGATACTGAGAATGCTCTTCCAACTCTCATGTTCTTCAAATGAGTAGGTGTATTCGATGAATTTATCATAGATGACTTAACTGTAGGTACAGCATGAGGTTTTCCTGAGTTAGTGTTGATTGATGGCATAGAAGCAGCTTCATGGGCAGCTTGTACTGTTGGAGAAGGAGGTTTTTGGCTCTGTGGCTTGATATTCTGCAATTTCGGCGTAACTTTTGAGCTTTCTGTAGCATTATTGTTAGTAGATGCTACGTTGTTGTAGTTAGGAATGTCATGGCTCGAGTTTGTGAACTGGATTTCTTCATACGATAAGGTTCTAAGCCAATGTGTCCTGGAGTGAGCATCATGCGTACAGAGTCTTGTAGGAAGCCAGATCCCGACTTTGTAAGACTGTAGATGTTGATCTCATTGAGTGTTTTGACTTGAAGAGGTCCGCATTTGTTTTTCTCGATGCCAGAGTAATCGCTGCATGAGAAAACAGTGACAACTTGTGTCTTGGCAAACGAATGTACACCATTCTGATTGCACTGGTGGCCTCGAACGATCAATTGAAGGGAATTTGATTCAAGGAACCTCGTAACAGAAGAATTACCAAACAAAACACCTGATCCACGCTGATTTGCAGCAAATTCAATGTTGTCGTCGGTTGGATCCGACCAGACTAAATCTGACACTAATGGCAAGTTGATGTAGTTTGGTAGAGGTCTGGAAAGCTCTTCTAATGTCCTCAGCTTTATGAGGGATGGTGATAAACCACTATGTACGCAGAAGATTGAATCCATAATGATAGCAGCTAAAGGAAGATAATAAAACACTTCCTGGAAGTATTCCCAAACAAGTTCTGTAAGGCCTAGATGAATGATTTCGTCGAAAAATCCATAGACTTTGTTGATATGAGAAAATTCATGGTTTCCGCGAATAAGCCAGACGCTATCAGGGTATTTGCAGGCTAATGCAAGCAAATAGAGTATAACAGGAACAGAATACTCGCCTCTATCTACGTAATCACCTAAGAAAAGATATTTTGTCTTAGGTGGCTTTCCAAACAACCTGATGATGCGGGCAAGGTCATCAAAGCTGCCATGTATATCGCCAATAACAATGACTGGATCGTTGATTTTCAAGATTGTTGGCTGAATATTTAAAACATCTACTGCGTTTTGGCAAACTTCCTAAATTTCATCTGGAGTGAATTCAGGCATAGGATAACTGAGTATGGATTGAGCATCAATCAGTCTCTCAAAGTTCTTAATTACCTCATCAATAATCATCTAGAAATTATAGTTGAGACGATAATTGCCAATCTCATTCAATTCGGAGATCACAAATTATTTTTCAATTAAATAAGTTATTCTTATTACTTGAATAACATTGAAACTAGCATGTTAAATTTATACTGTAAATTAAAACCTCAGAAAATTGTGCACTTTCATTGCGATCTTTCAAAAGATGTTTTGGAGATGAGTCAGTCAGTACGTCATAAATAAAGCAGGAATATTATTACAGTGTATTATTTACGTCTACTCTCAATTTTGAATAGTTATCAGAAATCTTCTGGCTTAATATAAAGTTATTTGCATACACTATTGATGTTGAGAAACAATTTAAAAATGATCCCATCAATTTTTAGTGAAGAAATTTTTGAAAAGAATCTTTTTGATATTAACTCTATTATATTATGTCATCAACAACAATGAGATTCTGAAAAATTTTCAATGAAAATACATGTTTAAATATTTAAGTAATCATTGCCTATAGTGTTAAATAATTCTGGTGATCAAAAAAACCGTTTACAATCCCATTTGATTATTTTCAATAGCATTATTCAAAAATTTATCGTATTATTTGGGTTACAATTTTCTTTTGATAGGTCAATTTCCAATTATTTGGTCTTGAATTTATCTTTTCTATAAGCAACAGTGATGTTTTCAATAGCAAAGTATATGGTATTTCAAAGCAAATTTTATCAATCAAAATCAAATTATGTTTGAACTAAATTAACTGTATCTGTGAATACAGATGGATTTTTCTATCTCCATTTCAAGCAGACAAGCTGCCAACCATCTGATATTAATATAGAATCATAAAAAGTTCTTTCTTCATAGGTAGATTGCTGTGAAAGCTAATAACTGAAAGATTCAAATATTATTTCAAATTTAATTTTGAGAAATATGCAATATTCGATGAGTTCATAAACAAAAAAAGTAAAAGTTCAATAGCTATACTATTATTGGATTCAAAGAAATAATTTGTAGTTATTTTAATATATGATAGATACAAAAAAAATTTTTATAACAACTCTATAAGATTAAAGATCCAGCAGGATCTGTTGGGAAGCGACTATTATTAATATAATAATTTGCAATGCTACATGCTTTGATTGCCAACGTAATATTTAGTACATTATAAGAATAATCCTTGTGTGAAATTGATGGTTCTACATAATATACTATTTTATTACCATTGGATCCAATGGCATTTATTGCGGAGTCATCATAAGCTCCAGTGCCAACAAGAACAACAACGGCTTTTTCATTTAGAACAAGGCTCTTAAAACAATTACTTCCTACGACCAAATACAAAAACTTTGCGTCACCGTAAAGTTTTGCTGTCTCTCCGATGGTCAAACGCTCATCAATAACTTTTTCGTATTTATTTGAAGGAAAAGCATCTTGTATTGCTTTGCTTAAGTTGTCAAAGTTGTGTATCTGTCTCATGTAAGACTTTCTGTTAGAGAGTATGTATCTTCTCGCTGGTAAATTTGATATATTAAAATAATTTTTGAGTTTATCGCCGAGTTTCTTATATAATGGTCCTAAATGAGAACAGTGTGGATATGGATTTGCCGTTATATATAAATTACTGGTATAGACCCATTCATTGTCACTTACATTTATGAATTTTTCCCTTAATCCCAAAGGAGTCAAGTATTCATCAACCAAGCGCTTTTCAGCAGATCCTAGTATGTAAGATTTTTGAATAATGTCATCAGGCATGGCCAATATCGGACAAATAAAGTCACTAAGAAAATGACCAAAATAAATTGTATATAAATGGCCTGTGGCAATGACATTCTCGTATTGAGCTGTCACGTATCCTTTAGAAACCTCGTGTATAAATTCTAAATGATTTGGAACGATGCATAAATCATTTGAAATAATATTTAGAGAATGTTGAACGTAGCAGCTGCAAATATGGTAGAAATGTCCCGATACGTGGTTAAACAGTTTGTCGTGATAAGATGGATCGAGTCTATAGTATACTTTTTCAAAATTTTGATCTAGAACAAATAAGCAGTTGTTATTTATTACTTTTTGACTCAAATCGTAATTATATACTTGTAATACTGTAGCATCTAATATGTTTTTTGACTTCTTGAAGTATCTTTGAATACCTTTTTTTGTATAAGATCGAAAATGTACTACATTTGGGACAAAAAGTTAACATATAAGAATCATTTCTGAAAAAATTCCTACAATCCCAATTAGCAATAATCGATAGCGTAATCTACGATATATTACTCGAGAAAACATATTATTCAGGAAATTTTTGACAATGTAAAGTTAAAATCTGACACTTTTAAATTTACAATGATTGTTTATAACCACGAATATAGAGAGAAATCATTACATAGGATGTTCTAATTAAAGGGTTACGATGCATAGTTTTACAGTAAAGTTTATTTTCCTAATTTTAAAGCTTCATTCATCATATATATGCTATTATCAATGGGGAAAATAGGCATAATATGGTACACCCATGAATGAAGTTTTTCTCTAATTACATATTGGATTCCTTCCCTTCCCTACTATTTCATGATGATCAAGGAAAGATTCTAAATTAGCTATTAACTCTTTGCTTCAATTTGAAATCATATTCTTCACCTTGTTCTCTCAAAATTTGAGTGAATTGAATTATACGCCCATTTGACAATCAATTGTTTTCTGTTGTTTACCTATAATAAAAAATCTATAATATAAAACAACAATAAAATACAAAAACTTTTATAATAATATAAAAAAAATACAGAGTTAAATGAAATTATTGTCAACATCAATTGATAGTTCTTCTCCATTCATTTCTCTCTTGAATGAAGTGAAATGTTGAACGCGATGATACATGTCGAAGAAAGTCTTTGGATTCTGCACAGAAATAGGGTAATTATCTGGAACTGACTGCAATCTCAATGAATTGAATGAATAGTTCCATATTCCGTTCTCTGGAGCCATCATCCAGCCATTTATTTCGTTTGTTATTGATATTCCAAGAACTTTTGCAAAGTTGTCATCGAAATCCTTTGGATTGTCCATTCCGATGTTTGTTTCTGCCCATTCGAATCCTTCTCTACTCAATGTCGATGCAGCCATGATGCATCCGCCAACAGGGAATGAAATAACAACATTTGCAAAGTTGTCGGAATCAATTTTCGGATTTTTCTTGCAAAGACTTGCGAGGACTTTTGCATCACTAGGTTCAAGGGAACTGTTTTCTCCAACTCTTGTGTGGATAAATCCAATTGGACTTGCTCCATCCAAGAAGTCGTGATTAGGAAGGATCTGTTTGAAGTCAATTTCATCGCGATCTCCGTTTTGAGGAGGAATAACAATGGAAATGACTTGTAGTGTGTCATTCATTTTGACACCAAACAAAAATCCACAAATTTGCATGTAAGGATCGGAAATTTCGACAAATCTTCTGTAAATGTTTTCAGGAATTATCAATTCGAGTTTTGGTTTGACAACAGGCGGAGGAATCATCAAAGTGTTTGCTCTCATTACAAGGCCTCTACTTGTCAAAGCACGAGATCTCCAATCACTTTTAGACTTAAATTGCTGTTGTTCGTATTGAGAAAATGTCTGAATGATGTGTTGGTTTCCATCTGCATCTCTTGTAGCTGTTGTTACAGTCTTAAGAGCTGCTTTGTCTTCTTCTTCGACTTCCTTTGCCATTTGTTGTCTTTCTTCTGAAGGAGCAGCGATTTTGACACCTAAAATTATGTCTCTAATTTCGGATTGTGTCAAACTGTTTGCAGAAACATTATTTCTTTGGCAATAGATATCGATGACGAGATCTTTGAGTCTGATTTCGACTTCAGCCCATTCATCAGCGCTGTGTGTTGGCCAGAGATGGTTCTGTTGAGTGACAACATTCGCGGAAGGTCTCAAGATATCCCATGCTTTCATTCTTTCCATTAACAATGCTCTTAAAATCAACATTAATCTTCTGAAAGCAGCATGAGGAGAAACAGTGTCCAACCAATCATCGTAAAGGTTGTAAAGGACCATTTTTGGCTCTGGAGCGTGGATGACTTCTTCTGCAATTTTCGGGATTTTCATGAAAGCTGGGAGAGGCAAATCCATGTCTGATCCTTTGACAACTGTGTTTGGAAACTCTGACAAATAACTTTGGACGGGATCAAGTAATAATTCTGATGTACAAATTACTTGTTTCGGTTGTTCTTCTGGTGGCAAAGTTCTTACTAAAGCGCATGTTTCTTCAGCAGCTTTCCATTTGGCCAATTGCTGCAATCTCTTCTGTTGTTGCCATGCCTTTGTTGTAATGATCTTTAAGAACAATTGTCCTGTTGCTGGATTCATTATGAAGACACCTCCGTTTACAGGTGACGTTGTATAGTTTCCTTCGAATGTTTTCTGGATTTTCACTCTGTAAACGTGTTTGTCTTCAACAATCCATGTTATTTTGTTTCCAAACAACTCGCCAAAGTTCGTGGAATTCAATGCTGGCTCAGGGATTTCGCTTGTGTAGAGTTGCAACGATTTCTTGACTCTTTCTCTCAACACGGATATCGAAGGATTGAATTGCAAGACGTGTTTCATTGCTTTGTCAATTAATTCTTGCAAACCAGGAATCCATGTTCCGAAAGCCGTCCATTCGTTGTAACACAAGTCAACGCCAATTATGATACCAGTAGAACTTGGATACATCGATTGTGTTCCACTTGTGTACGCGTAGAACAAAGATCTCGTGTATCTCTCGATATCATGCATGTCGTAATCTCCCCATCTCAATTGTATATCGACCCAGAACCTTGTTGTCAAGAATTCACCGTGGAATGTCTTTGTTTCATTGACGAAACATGGTTCTGTCGATGGCCATTTGTTCTGGGAGATCATGATTAAATCCGCGCAGGAAGAATTCATTTTATATGATTTCCTTGGATGAATTGTTTCCTTCGTGATGTAATCGATTTGTAATTGGCTCAAATGGCTGTCCAACACTTGCATGACGTCCATGACAATTGATTCATGTGTTTTCTGCCACATGTGGCCTCTAAACAATTGAATCAAAGAAACCTTAAGAGATGGGATTTTTCCGTGCATGAAAATACCAGTTAAATCCAATTGTACTTGGAAACCAACATAAACATTTGCTCTGTTTATTGTTGGTGACCACCACAATGTGTATCTTCTGTTAGGAACTTGACTCATGCCTTGTCTTTGAGCATTTGTAAGTTTCCTGTACTTCAAGGCTTCTTCAAATCCTGTTGTATTATCCCAGAACAAACCTTCCCAGTGTTTGTAACCTGTTGCTTTGAAAATCGAATGACTTAAGATGCCTTCGACACCTCCAAGTGCTTGAATGACATCTGCTCTGTAGTCTTTCAAGTTCCAAAGCTTTCCATCGTGGTGGTGATGTGTCCATGCGTAAGGATTCGTCTTAAACAAGCTGTATTTCTTGAAATAAAGACGTGTACGCCATCCTTTGTCGTAAGCCAATGTGTGTCTGTCTCTTTGGAAGAGAACATTGATGCGAGGAATTCCTCTGTCCCAAAGAGAATCGAGGTCTTCAATTGTGATCTTCTTGTTGAGAGCACCGGCTTCTTTCCTCATGTTTGTGTAGTGCTGCCAGACTCTTTTAGAATCCTCGATTTCGCCTTCCCAGCTTTGAACGTACCTGTACAAAGCGGGAATGAAATTTTCTTCAGGATGATCCATTCCGTCCCTGAAATGAGTTGTTTCTGCCATTGTTTGTGTGGCGTATCTCAGATCTGATTGTGGGATTAAGACATGTCCCATTGATATCAATCCAAGGCCACCAAATTCTTTTGGAGCGTAGAAAACAACAGGAGGGAATCTGTTCGGCATTTTTGAGTTCAATCCGAGTTTTACACGTGTTTGAACTCTGTTTTCGCATTTCACGATTTCGTCAATCAGTTCTGGTGTTGCAACTAAAGCTTCTCTGAAGTAAACAACCAAAGCAATGATTGCTGTGTTCCATTTATTGGATACTTTCATGAATGTCGTTGCTTGGGAACTGAGCAAAATCGTTCTGACTCTGTTTCTGAAATAAGTTATCGATTTCTCAGAAACTCTCAAGAAAACGAAAGCTGTTGTTTCATGGGTGATTTCGTTCTGCAAAACCCATGTTCCTTCCTGTGGAGTAAAGTCTTCGCGCTCCAATCTGATCTTTGGAAGAATTCTGACTTCGAATCCACACATATAAAAGAGCAAATTCGGGTTGTCTTTCGAATAAACGGATGCGAAACTTTGATGGAATCCACTTGCACTGTTTTCACTCGAATTCCAGTTCACTTCACATAACGATCTTGGCAAACGGTTTTGTAAATCCCAGAAAACCGCTCTTCCGAGATTTACATCGTGTTTGATCAATCTCATTCTTGCGTCCTTTGGCCAACATGTTTTATTATTGTAGCCCAACATTTCATCGTTATTATTTGAGTTGACATCGCAATAATCTCTGATCAAATCTCTTGCTTGTTCCGCATTAAATTTGTAGAGAATGTGGATTCTTGTTGCGTATCTTTGATACATTCTTATTGGATGTCTGATTTCGTCTTCGATTGACGCGAACTGGAAAAGAGAGTTTGGCATTGAAGGAGGTCCACACATTTCATTTGCTCTTCTCAAACCAAGGATCAGCAAATCAACTAGCAATCCCATGTATTGAGCAATGAAAGAAGTGAACTGAAGACCGTGAATTAATCCAACACCGTTCAAATAAGACATGTCTTTGAAAGAGATCTTGACATTGTTCTTTGATGTCATGTAATCAGCCAAATTGTGGTCGACGACCAATCTCAACATGTAATTGAGAAATGTCAAATCAATTTGTTCGTAGAACTTTTCAAGGCTTGTTTCAACGAGAACCATTGTTTGTCCATCTTCTGTGTTCCATGCGTCGACTAAAGAGTTGATTCTTTCGCACCATTTGTGAACTAAAACTGGCGGAGGAATCAAATCGCTTGGCTGAACCCATGGAGGGAAAAGATGTCTTCTGTCTGCTTCGTACCAAAGATACTGGTCCAAGTAAGCATCAGTCATCTTCTCGAGAGCGTAGATTTCGTAGTTCGGAATAACACGTGTGTAATGTTCCAAAAACGTGAATTTTACTTCACGAAACGCTCTCGCTGTCATGAAATCTCTTTTGATTCTGATCAACGCTTCATGTGGATTATCATGAGCGTTTTCGATCAAACCGAGTTCTTCACGCAATGTCTGGTTCATTCTCATTGATACATCATGACCAAATCTCATGTTTTCGAGAGCCAAAATGAGCATTTTTGTGTCATGTTTGTATTGCATTGGTGGGAACGGAATTGGCGTGAATTGTCTCATTTCCAACCAATTCTGCATTGTTGTCAACATCGCAACACCTTGTTCAGGAGTGATGTAAGGACCTTCTTTGAGGTAATTCGCTTGGTAATCGCTTTGTTGCTTCAAATAGAGCCTTGTCAATCTTCCTGTGTTCTTTCTTGTGATTGCTTTGTCGACTGTTCCATCTCTTGCGATTCTTTCTCTCGCGTAATGCGCGTTCTTCGTCCACCAGTCCGCTTTTGCTTTGACGTATCTCAAAATGATGGCTTCCAAAGGCGGAGGAAGGCCAGGAACTTTCCATGGAATGTTCGCTTTCCAGCAACGCCATGCTTCACTCATATGTGCTAATACTGTGTGTGCTTTGGCGTTTCTGATTCCTTCAGGCATCGTATCAGTTATATCATGTAAAACTGATGCGCGTAATTCGATATCGTAATTACTTTCAACGCGTTGTTTTGTGACAGTCGATGGCAATCTTTTAGAGAATCTTCCTTCGTATTCTCTTGCAACTCTGCTGCCAAGCCATCTCTCCATCAAAGGAATGGATCCTCTCATGAAAAAGACCCAAACACGCCACATTGGACCCCAAAATCCAACTCCAGGGCCTTTTCCAACTTCGCCTGTGTTGAATCTTGAATACAAAACATGTTTCAAGTCTTTGCATGTTCTGACTTGATGCATGAGTTTGTATTTGTACCTGTACATTCCTGTCAAATGTCCTGCATGTGAGAAAACGTATTGCAAAGCATCGGCAAGAACATAAGCATCGATTTGGCCAAGTCTGTACTGTATGTGGCAATCGAGTAACAGTTTGGTGAATCTGAAGAATTCACGCATGAGATGGTAAGCGTTGCCAAACCTTGATTTACGTCTTTCCTTTGTATTCAAGGTTTTTATCGGTTTCAAGTTGAAATTGTAGTCGAGATGGAGGAAAACAAGTCTATGGCGTTTGATCAACAAGTTACACATGTTGTAGCCTTGTTGGACAACTTGTAGACCGGCTTCGACCCAATCTAATGTCGTTGACTGGAAATAAGGCGTGGTTTTGAAGATCTTTGTGATTGTCTTCCTACGCCTTACAACGTATTGCTTCCTGTGATGAGATCTGTTCAATACGTAGTTCTTCAGCAATTTCTGATAAGATACTCTGACTTTGACAGGCTGTTTCCAAGGAGCGCGCTGTGTGTACCATGGCCTGATAAGTGGTACATCTTGCGCTCTTTGTGTATTACCTGTTCGGCAGTTAAAGGGTGATGGAGCCCAAAAAAGTGACAAAGTGTCAAAAATTTTGAATTGTTTTTCTTCGGATTCGTGATCGAGATCGTTGAACAAAGGATCACAATTAACAGTGAATGGCTGGAGATCTTCTTCTGATGCTTGTTCTGGGTTGTTGTTCGCACGTGGTCGTGAAATTGAAGAAAGATTTGGAGCTAACTGGAAAACTGGTGTAATAATGGTATTGTATTTGGCGAAACATGAAAGTGGATAATGGTATGGAGCAATTGAGATCTTGCGTGGTCTGTTATTGTATAAATTCGGATATGCTATTTTCCATTCTGTAGAAATCGGAGTTCTGATGATGATTTTGTTGATGTCGTTGAATTCGGTCCATTCCTGATTAGGATCGACGTCTGTAAAGAGTGGTTCGAACCTTGGACCACCTGGAATTACTTCATTTAAGGCTTTTGAAGTAAATAATGATGGTAGATCGATGAGATACTTCGAGTTCGGATCTTCGTATTGATCAACAAGTGGTCTTGCAAGTCGATATAGTGTAGACATAACAGTAAGAGGTAATTTCCATTTCCTGTAGGATAAACCATTAATGTATTGGGATGGTAAGCCTAAGTAGTCGTAAAACCATTCGTAAACAGCCGCATCTTCGTCTTCATCGAGTTCCATTAAAATTGCTTCTGGAGGCTCCACTCCTTCGATGTTTGTAACGAAATCAAGGGGTTGCTCTTCATCATCAAATGGCGGGAAACGTAAACGGCGGATCTGATGACGATCCCTTTTCTCTCTTCTCATTGCAATCCATGTTTCAGCCCATTGAGCTAAATATTGAGGTGGTACAACACGAGGAACTTCATTAACAAATGTAAGCGCGCCTGCTGTGTGATATAAAACGCGAACTTTTCGTAATTCTTCCCAAGGCATTGGCATATTTTCGAGAAATTTTAAAACTGCATGTGGAGCGTATTTCAGTGCTCCAATGTATAAACGTTTCTGTCCTGCAAATTTATCATGACTCATATTTCCGTGAGATGTCATAATTTGTCGAATATGGCCTGGTGGGAGCTCTTTTGCGCTTGGACCTTTTGAAGTTGTCTTGATTTTCTCAAGCTTAAAATGTTTTTTACGGAGATGTTTCCACTGGGCTATTCTTTCCTGTAAAACCCCAGTGTCTCCAGTCTCCATCTAAAATTTTGACAAGTTTACTTGTCAAGAAATAATTAATTATGACTAATTTCTCTTCCTCTAAACACCTTAGCATATTTTGAGCAACATATTATAAGCAATGATTGGAAACAAATAGAAATTCATTCACAAAAGGATATTTCATTCCAATTTCATTGATCAAGAATAAAGATAATGAACATAACTCATAATTTCAGACATTTGTATGAGATGAACATATTTGAAAAACATTTGTATGAGATAGAAACTAAAAAATACATCAGAAATTTCAAAATTAAATGAGAAATAAGTTCAAAAAAAATTGATTAATTTTGTAAGGAAAACTTCTGGATTCGTAATATTTTTAACATTTCGCCACCATCTTCTTCCTCATTGCCACCTTCGACTGATTCAGCAGCGACACCGTCGTATGAGGTGAGAATGTTGAAGGTATCCTCTCTTTATAGGAGTCATATTATGCACAATAATATAGAAGATGTGATTTTTATCCGAGAGACAAGTACATAACAGATAATATGAAGAAAGCATCAAAATTGCGTCCAATTTTCAATGGAATTGAACATTTAACCTTGTAAGGTATGGCAGTAATTCGAGAGAAATATGGATAATCATATTTTTCAGCTGTGGAAATGATTACGTGTCCATTTCCTATATGACCATACTCTGGAATTGATACGTTAAGATTCGGGGCGGGCATAGGACTTTTCCCATCAATAATCAATGGATTCTCAAATTTTATTCCCGAATAATGGATCGAAGGATCTTTCGCAGTAGAAAATTTAGGATTATTCTGAGTATAATCTTTATCAACAGAAATACATCCTGGGTAACCGCTTATGTATGAACTTCCACCGCCCGCTGAGCCTATATCAATAATGTTTGAAGTCCCTCCTCCAAAATAGCCCCCACCGCCCCCTGCATTTCCATCAGGAGAGGTGGCAGTGAGCAATCTCTCTCCATTTCCACCTCCTAGACCAAAAAATCCCCTATAATAACCACCACCCCCGGAGGTTTGGTTTCCTCCCTTTCCATCGCCATCAAAACCTTTCAAGCCGCCGCCAGAACCAGCTGGAGTACCTCGACCATAATAATTATCGTATCCCCCACCACCAGCGGCCACCATAATTCGGCTTTTCAATCCATCTTCATCAAAATATGACCCTGGATTCAATCTCACATCAGAGGCACCGCCTCCTCCTATTTGTCCTGGACCACCACCGCCATAAGCAGCTTGAGGCTGTGGTTTCCGGCCTTTTGCTCCAACATGAACATATATGGTTAAATTTCTTTCGAGTGATAAAATGCCACTAGTATAGCTGCCAAGACCGTAATCAATACCGTACGTACTATTACCGCTAGCACCCCAGCACTCAATTTTCCATTTTCCGGAAGTTAAATTTATCTCATAAGGGGCAAAAACAGAATTATTGATGCCGTTATAAACTAAGTCATATACAACCCTATTCTGATACAATTTATAGGCAAGATAGAGAATTCATAATCATCTTATTTGCATGAGCTTTACTATGATTGGAGACAAGATCATAACTAAATTTTCTCGTTTCTTTTAAATTTTTCTTTCTTTTTCCTCATCTTCTCCATTCTCAAGATCAAATTTCACCATTTTGAGGAAATGATAGTCACGCCATTATAATAAGCAAATTTAGTTGCAACATGAATATGCTTAGGAAAAATTAGCATCATTCATCTAATATGAATGAAATTGGATCTGAATAATTTTAAGATTATGACTAGAAATCAAAGAACATGAGAAAAATATATCTAATTACGAACATTAATAATAATGTTTTAGGAATTAGCGAATTTACATTTCGCCACCATCTTCTTCTTCATCGCCACCTTCGACTGACTCAGCAGCGACTTCGTCGTAGTCCTTCTCGAGGAGAGCAAGATCTTCACGAGCTTCTGGGAATTCAGCTTCTTCCATACCCTCACCGACGTACCAGTGGACGAAAGCACGCTTAGCGTACATGAGGTCGAACTTGTGGTCGAGGCGAGACCAAGCTTCGGCGATGGCTGTTGTGTTAGCGAGCATGCAGACAGCGCGCTGGACCTTGGCGAGGTCGCCACCTGGAACGACTGTTGGTGGCTGGTAGTTGATACCCATCTTGAAGCCTGTTGGGCACCAGTCGACGAACTGGATTGTGCGCTTTGTCTTGATTGTAGCGACAGCAGCGGAGACATCCTTTGGAACGACATCACCACGGTAAAGGAGTGTGCAAGCCATGTACTTGCCGTGGCGTGGATCGCACTTAACCATCATGTTGGCTGGCTCGAAGAGTGAGTTTGTGATTTCGGCAACAGAGAGCTGCTCGTGGTAGGCCTTCTCTGCAGAAATGACTGGTGCATAAGAGCAGATTGGGAAGTGGATACGAGCGTATGGGACAAGGTTTGTCTGGAACTCTGTGAAGTCGACGTTGAGGGCACCATCGAATCTGAGGGAGGCTGTGAGGGAGGAAACAACCTGGCCGATGAGACGGTTGAGGTTGGTGTATGTTGGGCGCTCGATATCGAGGGCACGGCGGCAGAGATCGTAGAGAGCTTCGTTATCGACCATGAAAGCGCAGTCGGAGTGATCGATCATGGAGTGTGTAGCGAGAATGGAGTTGTATGGCTCAACGATAGCTGTGGAAACCTGTGGAGATGGGTAGACTGTGAATTCGAGCTTGGACTTCTTGCCGTAGTCGACAGAAAGACGCTCAAGAAGGAGGGAGCCGAAGCCAGCGCCTGTGCCACCACCGAAGGAGTGGAAGATAAGGAAGCCCTGAAGACCTGTGCACTGATCAGCAAGCTTACGGATGCGGTCGAGTGTGAGATCGATGATTTCCTTACCAACTGTGTAGTGGCCACGAGCGTAGTTGTTAGCGGCATCTTCCTTGCCGGAGATGAGCTGCTCTGGGTGGAAAAGCTGGCGGTATGTGCCTGTGCGGACTTCGTCGACGACTGTTGGTTCAAGATCGACGAAAACAGCACGTGGAACGTGCTTGCCGGCGCCTGTCTCGGAGAAGAAGGTGTTGAAAGCATCATCTTCGACACCGATTGTCTTGTCGGATGGGAGCTGGCCATCTGGCTGGATACCGTGCTCGAGGCAGTAGAGTTCCCAGCAGCCGTTACCGATCTGAACACCGGCCTGTCCAACGTGGATAGAGATAACTTCACGCATTGATGAAGAGTGTCAAAATCTGCTTTCTCAAGAAAACATAACGGATTTTCACTTGTCTTTTGATATTTTGTTTGTATGGCTATTGCAAGTGTTTGGCAATCATATTGAATTCATTAATAGTAACGTATATACTTTTGAACCAAATTTAATCGTCGCTTCTCAAATGATTTATATTCCATTCAATCATACCCTCATATGTTCGTACTGATTATTTAGAATGAAATCAATATTACGATAATTTATACCACTTATGCTGTAATAAACAGAAATTCATCAAAAGTGACAGCTCTCAATTTTTTGACATTTGTAAATTCTAAATTGAATGAGAAAAATGAAATAATACTAAGCATAATACAATATTCTAGATTTAATTATAATTAGGGAAAAGTTAGTTTTGAGAGTACTTTTCATAGGCATATAGAATGAAATCTTCTGAAAAATAATATCACATAAACTCATATTATTTTCTAATATATAACTATTTTATATCAAAATCAAATTCAATGATCTTAAAAGCGAAGGATAAACCTCAAAATTTACGAATATAATGAGTGGGAAATATAATGCTTATCTATCATAAAACCATATGAAATATCAATTTTTGCTTTACGCCTAATTTTTGACGACAATTAGCAAAAATGTTAAATGTTAACACTCAGTCCATTTGAATATGAAAAATAAAATTGACTTTGATTAAATGTTTTTATTTAATCATGCAATTCTTCTTGCGACCAAAGATTTGAATAAAATTTCAAAAAATAAGATAGCTTAAAAAATAATATACGGTAGTGTTTACTAATAGATGAATAGTATATAAATTCTATTAAAATGGATTTGATCCAAAAAAATATATAAAAATTTGATCATAAATAAAATCGTTTTAAATTACTTCTTATTTAAATTATACAATTATTTTTGGTTTTATATTTTTTTGGATCAAATCCATTTTAATAGAATTTATATACTATTCATCTATTAGTAAACACTACCGTATATTATTTTTTAAGCTATCTTATTTTTTGAACTTTTATTCAAATCTTTGTCGCAAGAAGAATTGCATGATAAATAAAACATTTAATCAAAGTCAATTTTATTTTTCATATTCAAATGGACTGAGTGTTAACATTTAACATTTTTTGCTAATTGTCGTCAAAATTAGGCGTAAAGCAAAAATTGATATTTCATATGGTTTTATGATAGATAAGCATTATATTCCCACTCATTATATTCGTAAATTTTGAGGTTTATCTTCGCTTTTAAGATCATTGAATTTGATTTTGATATAAAATAGTTATATATTAGAAAATAATATGAGTTTATGTGATATTATTTTTCAGAAGATTTTGTGTTCTTCTTCAAAATTTTATTTTTTTATTAAAAAGAATCTTTACAAAATATACATTTACTTTAATTAATATTTAAAAACGTGCTCTATCAAAAGTTCCAAAAATTCAATATTTTAGCTTTTCTGAGGTGTCACTTTTGATGAATTTCTGTTTACAACAATGCATGATGATTTATGATATTTTTATGAAGAAATCGTTTACAAAAAATTAAATTACATGATATTTGGTATTTTTGCAAAGGTCAATGATCAAAGTATCTAAAATAACATGTGTTTGCTTATTTATCAAGGCGTTAAAACCTCCAAATTTTTTTAGATTTTCAAAAAATGACTTTATTTTTATAAAAAATTATATTGCTAAAAATAATTTCAAGATTTTTTTTGGAGTTTGTTGACCCAAAGAATCTGCTTTTTCTAAAACACTATCTCTCTGAAGAATGTTTTTATTATGTTTTTACTTCATTAAGTATTAATAGTGTAAGACCCTTTTTTATTTTAATTTTGTTGAAGAATTTTGCTGTTTTTATTAGTTTATAACATCTTATCAACTAGATCTTTACTTGCACTTGGTATATGGGCAGGCAAAGAAACTATTGGTATTAGAGTTTTGGCTCAAGCAAAAACATGGATGAGATTTTGGAATGATATTTACGTTTTTACTGATAAAATTCCAAAAGCTGAAAGCGAAGAAGTCCAAAAAGCAGCATTTCCATGTAATATACATTTTGTTGAATTAAAAAATTATTCAGATCATCTTGAAGATACTGAATGGACTAATAGATGGTATTTTGCACAACCTCGATTTCTACCGGCAATTGAAAAACTTAGTCAACTCGAACCAAACGTTAGTTGGTACGTTTTTGGTGATGATGATACATATTTTTTCAGAGAACCGCTTGTCAGGAAACTCTCATCATTTGTAGCTGATAGGCCATATGTAATTGGAAAAGTATGGTGCTCAAATGCTCAGTTTTCTGATATTCTTAAATCGAATCCTCAATGCTTACCTTTCGCACAAGGTGGTGCAGGAATTGCCCTATCACGTGCATATATGAAAAAGATCAGTCCTCACTTACTAGAATGCAACAGACAATTTAACCATCCCGATTTTCCAGGATCAATGAGATTAGCGTTTTGTTCGGCAAGACTTTTCGGAGAAGATGAATGGTCTGTTGATGACATAGTTGTTCCATGGCCAGAAGGATTTCATGCCGATCCACCAGAAAAAGAAATTCAATTTGGAACAGTTTCTGAATCTCCAGCTTCATTTCATCGCATATTCGAAAACAAAATGAAAGGTATCGCTATTACTCATACAGCAAACTTTGTAGATCAAAATGGGCGAAATTATATTATTGATTTATCAGAAATTGCTTTTACAAAAGTTCTTTTACCACTAGGATCTCTATCAACGAGGTTTCAATGGTGGATTGGCCACATGATTTCTTTTGATTCCGTTTTAGAGCCTTTTTTGAAACCAAAGGGTGAATGGGAGGCCAAAGTCAGTACAAATTCGACTCTATTATCAATTACGCAACAATACGAAAGAGATGTTAAAATTACTTTAATATGCGATAATAAATACTCAAGACGCCCAAGATTTTACAAATTCTTAGATGAGGAAGGAAGCCATCCATCCTTTAAAGTTTCTTGCCAAAGGATGAATATTGTTATGCTTGATTAATTTTTATAGAGTTTTTTTTTGCTTATTTGTTAGTAAACATTAAATATATTACCAATGATGTCAAGGATATTTGTACCACTCCGGTTTTCTTTTCTCCCAAAAACGAATTCGAATTCATCAATGAATGCATTGGTAAATAATAGTATAACTGGAATAGGCATCAAAAATTTCATCAATGTGGTTATTCCAAATTTCTATTTTATTTTGATTAAATTAAGTGTTGAAGTGAATGTTGAGGCTTTGACTTATATTTTTTTGGCTGTTACCGTAGGTATGTCAAACTCTGGCTTCATACACATTGATCCTTCTCTGTTGGGGCAAATTACCGACACTCTGCGTGATATGGTAAATGAACTTGACGAACTGAAAAAGCTCGATTTGAAGAAATTAACTTCGGATCCATCGGATTTTGAAATTTTTCTGAAGCAAATCCGTTCAGGCAGACCAATCGACGATTCCAGTTTAATTAAAAAGATTACAAACTCCGAAATTAATAAATATTCTTTCGGTTTATTAACTTTTCTTATCGCTACTCAAGCAACCAATTTAACTGATCAAATCATAAGTATTAAGCCCATTGATGTTAACCAAATTGTGTTTAAAGACAAACATTTACTCCATAATCAGACAATCCTTCAAAATATCGACAAAGTCAAATACTTGATTGAAAAAGGAATCGATATCAATCAACAAGACTCAAACGACAAGACACCACTTCACCTTTGTTGTTCATCAAACCATTTATTAGATGCAGCCTTGTTTCTAGTTGATCAAAGCAATATTAAAGTTAATATAGAAGACAATAAGAAGCATATGCCAATATATTATGCATGTGGCCTCACAGTTTCCTCAGATGAAGAACTTGACAAATTAATACTTTTAATTCAAAAACTTCTTGAGAAAGTAAACCCAAATAGTATTACATCTGATATTTGCGATGTTGTATTATATAGTGAAATTGATGATCTTCTCCCAAAGGATAAGTTTAAAGTAATAAAATCAGATTCCACAAAGTTATTTGAACAAAATTAAGGATCCGAATGAAATCTATAAGGGTTATACAATGCTCACAAGATGTATCGAATTGGGGAACATTGATCTTGCTAAATATATCAATAAACAAGATAAAAAAAGAACTTATTGAGTTTCTTCTTGCAAACAATGCTGATGTCAACTACATGTATTCAGATCAAACACCACTCACTTATCCAATCCGAGAAAACAGAAAAAATACATTTACTATTATTGACTATATTATTGTTTTGTATATATTATATTATAGTTTGATACATGATAAATGATAAATTTACTATTTGTTTTATAATAAATATAGATTTTTTGAAAATTGATAATTTGAATTTTAGAATTATTGAGTTTGAAGCATAATGATATCATAAAAGAATAAATATTGGCTTTTCTATCTATAAATAACTCATTGTTTAAATAAAATCTAAATTACATTTAACATAATTCATAGAAATCACATAAAAACTAAGATAGTTTTATGTATAGATAACTCATTGTTTAAGTGTGCACTTACGCCCATTTGACTTTAATTCAAATTTTTGACAACTGGGGTGAAGCATCATTGAAAATTAACCTTTAACATCTGAATTGAAAGCCCCGTCATAGGGGCGTAAGTTCACCCAATAAATAATGAAATCTAAATTACAATTATTTTCAAATAACATCATACATGATTTCATGAACAGATCAACAAATAACATCATACATGATTTCATGAATAACTCAACAAATAACATAATACACGATTTCATGAACAACTCAACAAATAACATCATTCATGATTTCATGAACAACTCAACAAATAACATAATACATGATTTCATGAACAACTCAACAAATAACATAATGCATGATTTCATGAATAACTCAACAAATAACATAATACATGATTTCATGAACAACTCAACAAATAACATCATTCATGATTTCATGAACAGATCAACAAATAACATAATGCATGATTTCATGAACAACTCAACAAATAACATAATACACGATTTCATGAACAACTCAACAAATAACATCATTCATGATTTCATGAACAGATCAACAAATAACATAATGCATGATTTCATGAACAACTCAACAAATAACATAATACACAAAAACTTAGATAACTCATGGTTTAAATAATAAAATCTAAATTACATTTATTTTCAATAAATAAAAAAAAGAAGATCAAAAAAATAATATAATAAAATAATAATATACAATAAAAGAGAGAATATACAATTAAGCCTTTGCAGGACATTGCGAACCAAGTGCCAACAGTAAATTAGTATTAGAGAACTTAATTCTTCTTGTATCAGCGTATCTTGGCTGCAATCTCTTCAATGGCTTTGCCTGAGCTATTGCAGAAGTTCTAAAGTTCTCTATATCCCACAACAAAATGTCTCCTTCCTGTCCAACTGAAGCAACAATTGTTCCTTCAACAGATATGGCGATTTCCCTCACAGGACCGTTATGTGCCATTATGTGGCCGAGTTTATTTCCTTCTGCCAAGTCCCAAGAAGTTATTGCTCCTGAGTCATCTCCACTTATCAAGAGCTTTCCGTTTCTCGTGAACTGCATGCATCTAGGAACATTCATTCTGTCTGCGAGCTGGCGCAAACTCATTCCATCTCTCATGTCCCAAAGATGGATAGAACAATCACATGAACATGTGGCCAAAAGTGAACTGTTCGGATGGAATTTTAAGTCAACAATCGGTTTGTTGTGTTGTGTGAAGACACGAATTGGTTCTTGACGTGAAGTGTCGTAGAGAAGGGCTACAGGGTCTTCACAACCGATTGCAATCTGATGATTGAACGGACTCCAGTCGCCACACCAGTTTACGTTGAATGGAGTATGGTATTCTTGCAGGACAATCGAGTTTTCGCAGTTCCAGACGCGTACATGGCCAAGACCGCCTGTCATAAGGTAGCGGCTGTTCGGAGAAAACTTGCACCAGTACGGTTTCGGACCAATAAGATTTCTATTGAAGTAAGTATAGACTTCCGCGCCGTAGGATTGCTTGTTCTTGATTGGATAACGAGGAACCATCATTTGATTGAGGAGTTCGAAGCCTGGACCGGTCTTTTCGTTTTGTGCTGTAACTCCTTTGTATAAAAAGAGGTCGTCGAGGTCTGTATATACGTTTGTGCTGATGAGCTTAGTAATGCCAGTACCTGTGCATACAGAAATTAATGTTCCGTCGTCATTTATATCATAATATTGATCATGAGTAGGAAAAGTAAAATATGCGCAGGCCGGGAGCTCGGATTTGTTAAGCTTGGCCATAAGCTGTGCTTGCATGGTTCCTGCAAGGATTTGTTCAACAGGAATTTTTGGTAAATTTACAACTTGAGGAGTTCTCTTAGAAGTATCGTCATCAAAGAGGGAAATCTTAAGTCTGTTAGCGGTTTCTTCATCTGGGTAAATAGTTTCAATGCGCTGGTTGATGAGATCAATTAAATTGTCTTTAAGAAGGGAAAGAGTTGGATCTCTCCTTTCTGGGTTCTTCGCATTGTCAGGGAGAATGAACTCTGGTATGGATTCTGGAGAATTGAGGATCTTTTCGTAAGGAATATAAGTGACATGTAAACGATCTTGAATTATACCGAGAAATGTATAAAAATAGTTCTCTTCGAGAAAGCTAGTAAGGGTGTTGAACGATGTTTTAGTGATTTTGAGGCTAAAACCATTGTCGGCGAGCTTAGGACAAGCATTATTTGCAACAGCCTTTTTGAGCTTGCTTTGATCGTGATATCTGTGGTGATCACCTGTATTTCTATTCATGAATTTGGTTACTACCTGCTTATCAACACCCCTTTCTGACATTATAATAATGGAATGGAAAAAAAAAGCGTAAAGAATTTTGTATAGTTCACGGTACTGGATTGATTCAGGAGGGAAGCTCGTGATTATCCAATTCTTGACCGCGTCGTACTGTTCAGGTAATTTTGAAACGTCTTCGTTTTTAATCATTTCTCGTAAAGCGATTTTATATATATCATTCTGATCTGCAGCAGGTTGTTGAGCCCCATGAATGCCATTGCCATAATTTTGGACTGGTTGACTATTCATGTTCTGAATGAAAAGTGACAAATTCATTCATATCATTGCTTTCATAACATATCATACATATAGATTATACTACATATAAATAGTTAAAAAACTAACTATTATACAATAATTTTGAAATTTCATCTGATATTTTCATTTTCCTTTCAGTGATACTCACATTACATATACGTAGACAAACATCTAACCATTAAGTTATAGTTTTGATTAAAACCTAAAACTTAATAACAATTTCAACTTTCTTTCAATACAAAAACTTATAATATCAGACATATGACATATACTACATGTGTATAGTTAGATCACTTATAATTAAGTTATAATTTTGATTAGAACTTAAAATTCCATCTTGTTATTTAAAAATTCAAAGAGTTTAGAAAACAAGACATCCTTATTTCAGCAGAACAGATCTTGTCTATACTATTTACATATAAAATGGTCGTTTTGGATGTTCCGTTGAAAGACATTTATTGAGATTACAAGTTAAAAGTTCAATGAATCATAAATATCAATCCACATAGTCTATCATTCACTTCATTGTAGGAATTAAGAGATCATGAGGCAAAAAATGTAAACCTTTCAAAGTTATCCATTTTGTCATTTTTTTTGACTAGACTGTTTTTAAATTTGAAGGTTCAATCATAGTTAAATATAATTATAAATTTTTAGATTTTTTCTCTTACAAAATTTTTTTTTCTTCCTACAAAAACAATAAATGACTTATTATACTGTTGATGAGATGCTTGATATTTTTAGGAATAATGAAACAACAATGCACCAAGAGCGCTTGAAAAACGAAGCTGCAGTTATGCGTATGTACGCTGATGCAACAAAACAAAAAAAATTCAAGAAAGGCTCGCATGGATCTAAAGACAATTTACTAACATTTCACCAAAGCGATAGCAACGCTTTTGTTCTCAGTCATTTAAGGAAAAACGCAGGAGATGACAAAGATCCAATCAGAGACATCAACTTAGAACTTAATATTATCAAACCACAAAAAATTAACGAGTCTGTTGATAAATTGTGCAAGTTTGATCTCTCTATGGTGCTTGATTGCTTGATTCAAAAGGCTTTTCACGCTGTTCAAAATCCGGAACAACCTTCGAGCTTGATTCCAGTCCAAATTGAATTATTCCACAAATTATTAGCAAAAGATAGCATTTTTAAGACATTTCCTGTTGAATTATATATAAAATACGTCGAACTCCTCTCACAGCCGAATTATAGGGATAACTGCAAGACAGTGTTAGTGTACTTATCACATTTATTCGTCACTCATGTCATTTCGAGGAAAGATTACGGTACAATTTTATATCAACTTTGTTCTTACCCTACATTACAATATGGACTTGAATTAATGGTCTCCGCGCTCACTATTTCAGGTAAGTATATTGATTCCCACAGATTGAAAGAGTTTTTCTACTTTTATCGATACATGAACATGAATTTACAGAACGTACCGTCATATACGCAGTACCTCATTAACGAGCTCTTATTTATTCGCTACAAGGGCTGGTCTGACAATGAAGAACTCAAAATTATTCCAGGAAAATTCGAAAGTGTTCCAAAACCAGTGGAATCAATCATTCCTCAAGCAGAGAAGCTCATAGAAGAAAGGAAACAGAACGAAGCTCAGCAAATTGCAGAGAAACAGTCTGCTTCTGCAAATAATTCGAAACTTACCATAAATCCACAGAATTTATCACAGAGCCAAAGCGAGAACGACATTTCTCAGCAAGATACACCTCAAAACCAGGAAGATGAGCAACAAATTTCATCTGATACTCAATCAATCGAAGAACCACAACAGAATGACAATGAACAACCAAACAAAGAACCACAGCCACAAAATGATGAACAAATAGCCGATAACATTGAAGATTTTGTTGAAAAATCTTTTAACAACTGGTTAGATTCAGGAGAACTCGCAGATTTTACCAAATTTGATATTGACCTTGTTATATCTACAACATTACGTCTTTTCAATCTATTTAACAATGAAATTTCAGACTATTCTGATTTTATTTCAAAAGTTTATTATCAAATTGTTCCAAACAGAGAGGATGCCATCTACCATATCATGTCAAACCTCTACGTCATCAAAGAGCTTGCAGATAACAATGAAAATTCTTTTGAAATTTATGATAACCTCGGAATGACACTTTTCAACTTGGCTCATATAAAAGACTATATAGGAGTATACGATGCGTATGATATCCTTTCAAACGAAGTAATTCCTAGAGATATCGGACTTAATATTAAATATAGCATCTCGCAAAGCATCAGAACAATCTACGATTATGAGATTCTTGATGTCCCTGAGGGTGATGAGGATAAAATCAAACAGATTGCCCTTGATGTTGTAATTAATGTTAATTTCAACACACAAGAGATGATTACGGACAAATTAATCGAGGACACAAATAACTTGCAACCACTTGCCTGCTTTATTTTCTTCAAATCTATGTTCATTAATGGATTTTATGATAGAACCCTCTTAGATAACAAAGAACTAACAGATTTATTGGCTATGACCAACATGACATTCATGGGTGAGTTGGATGCAATAGTTGCAGAGGTTTCAAATGCAATTCCTGAAATTTCTAATGATCCGGAATATAAGAAACTCTTTTATATAAAATTGAATTAAAGTATTCTTATGATATTATCTTTTTAATTCGTTTTTTTGAACAAAGATAAAATTTTTTTTGAGGTGTATTTCATTTGCTGTTTCATTTTAGGTTTCAACTAGTTGTATGTTTACAATTATCATAAGGATCAAAATTCAGATTATCCTTTTGCAAAAAAATCATTTTGTGATCAATATTTTGTTCGTATTGCAATAATTATTCAAAATTACAAGATGTGAATAGGCGAGACAATTATTATTACCGATATATAGCAACTAGATTGGAAAATTATTGGACTTATATCCAGTTTTTCGACAAATTTCAATTGGAAACTGATAATCAAAGATAAAAAGTTCTATTTTTTCATTACATATTTCTACTAGAGTTGTAAAAACTGATTATGAGTGTCTTTTCCAAAAGGCAATTTTTTTTCGTAAACGTCAATATAAAAAATATTTCGAAAATGTCTTCGGACACTGTAACTAATAGGATAGAGATAGCTATGGACCGCAACTATAACGAAAAAGCATTTAGAGAACAAATTAGGAGGCAAAACCCTGATATGCCTGCCGTTCCTGATGATTATCCACAATATGTTGCAGGTCCTTACGTATACAGTGAACAACACTTCTTCAAAATACAGTACCCAGAATGTACAGTAAATGAACTTCGCGCTTTTCTTATTGCAAATAAAGCAGATGTTGCTTATGAACAAGGAAAAATTGCTGACGCCCAAAAAATGTGTTTCCATGCTCTTACTTTTAATGCATGCGATGTTGATGCATACACAGGCCTTACTCGTCAATTAATCAAGGTCATTGAGGACGATTATACCTTAATTAATTGACCACTTGATACATTGAAATATCATAAATATTGAAATATTAAAAAGTGTATTTCAAAATATTGAAATTATAAAAATTTATAATACTGAAATTGAGACAAATTAATAAATTCAATGTGTTTTTTTTTGAAATAACTCTCAAATATTATTTTTTTGTTTATTTAATGATGAATAAATATGATTGCTTTAGTCAATCATAAAAACTAATTTAAGTTTAAAATAATGAAAGGATAATTTGATCGTTTTTTAAAATACAATTATTTTTGATGATTTGCAAGAATCTTTGAAAAGAATATAATATAGGTTCTATTTTTGTAAAATTTATCCAAATCATTTATTACATAAATTACGATTAAAACGATGAAAGAACCAAAAAGTGTGTTTTGTGCTTTGTTGTTGCGTGTTGGATGCGGGATCCTGTTATTTCCGAAATCGACAAAAAATTTGGAAATTTAATTTCCGAAATCGAAATTATATTAATGTTTTTAATATTCTTATATCAAAAGGATTAAAGTTCATTAAGAGAAAAACAATTCTTCTTCTTCAATCTATTGGCGCATTTATTTCTACACGCCAATAAGGAAGGGAAAATTATAAGACACCATGGTGTCTTCAAAACGCTAATTTTTGATATTTTTAACAACCCTATCATAATTTGAATAACTGTATTTTTGTATAAATCATACATAATCATCTGATCATCTAAAGATAATTGAGCTCCTGGAGCAAAATTTAATTTAACAGTTTTTGGAAATGCACCTCCGTCTAACTTTTTTATTGTTGAAGGTAATTGAACATTCTGTAACTTAGTGCATCCATCAAAGGATCGGGTGGATATTGTTTTTACTCCTTCTGGTATTGTTATATTTGTTATTGGACAACTCATAAATGTGTCAGAATTAATAGATGTAATATTGGATGAAAGTTTGACACTTGTCAGATAATAACACCATCTAAAGGCACCATTATTAATAAATGTAACAGAATCTGGAATTATAATACTCTTCAATTTCGTAGTACTGAATGCATAATCTTCGATTCTTGTGATTTTATCATGAAGCTCGATTGATTCGATATTCGCCGTAATGAAAGAGTGGGATCCTATTACAGTAACGAAGTTCGGAACAGTGAATGAAATGCTTCCACTATTTGGATATCTTGCAATTGTAGCTTGATTTTTTGAATACAAAATTCCATTATCTGATAAATAATTCTTATTCAAAGGATGACATGTGATAGACTTTAAAGTTGAAGTTCCCTCAATAACATTTCCATGGAAAAAGGTAACCTTTTCTGGTATATATATATTGTTTCAATGGCTGTAAATGAAAAAAATTGTGTATTAATGCTTTCTAGCTGAGAATCAGTTGGAATATTTACTGTTGTAAGCTGGTAACAATTTAAGAAACAATAGTCATTAATCACTCTGACTTCTTTTGGGATAGAGATACTTCGAATAGAAGTATATGAAAAAGCATGAAGATGCATTGTAGTTAAATGCGTTGGAAGAAAGACATTTGATAAAGAACTGCATTTAGAAAATGCATATTGATTAATATTTGTTAGTAATTGACAATTTGTGAAATCAATTGCTGTTAGTTTAGTGCACCCATAAAATGCGCAGTCTGAAACTGTTTCAAGTTGTGATCCGGATGGAAATGTTACAGATTCAAGTGTTGATTGACTTCCTTGGAATGCAAAATTATTGCATTGATTGCTGCTATATGTTCCTGCCAATTTAATACATGATTCCCTGATTGAAATACTAACAACATCTTTTGTAGAACGGAGAACAGTGCCTGGATCATTGTAATCCTCCAGTTAATTGTAAATATTAGAAATTTTTGAATTCATAACCCAATTTATTAAGGTTAAAATTATTGTACAAGAAACTCAGGTATGATTTTTTGAATTCAAATATAAAAGTGACAAAGATTTTAATCGTTTAATATTAAGTGTCAAAAATATGAGTGAAATCAATCCAAACTCAGTGATTTCCTCATTTAACAATTCAGAACTTAATCAAAGCCAAGAACGAGACAGCTCAGCTCTTTGTGACTCAAAGATTCGTAAAAGTCAGGAAAAATCCAAAATATCACGTGGAAGCACTTCAAAATCACCTTCTATTTCTTCGATTTTGTCAGAACAACAATCACCAAGAGGAAAAAAGTCAAAAAACAGTTCAATATCATATTCTTCAATATTATCAAATCATTCTGATTCCAATTCACACAATTCTGACATAAATGATCAAGATAAGAGCACAAGCGAGAATACAGGTAACAATATTAACATTCCTGCTTCAGCTTCATCATTTTTACGAAAGATCGGAGAGATCTCATCATCCTCTATTGGAAGTGATTCATTAGATAGCGATTCTAATGCAAGTTCTACCAATACCTCCATGCAAGATAGTAAAAAAACGCCTCAAATAAGCGAAATTAACAAACCTAAAAAGCCTTCTAAAAAAAGCGAAATTGACATGTCAAGTATTGAACTTAGTGATTCGGATCATGATATATTAAGTATTTTATCATCATCACTTCGAAAAACGAACGATACAACAATTGATGTCCCTGAAGACACGATTAAGACCGACAAACGGTCAAATACAGATAAAGAAGACATTCTTTCAAGTTTTGATGAATCTCCTTCTGAGCCAAAACAAGAAAATCCAAAAACAAAAACAAATCATTCAATTTTAAGCGACAGTGGTTCAGAATACTCTCCCCCTGTCAAAGACAAAGCAGATCCAGATGATTCCAACGCAAGTCTTTCAGAACTTTCAGAAATTATTTCAACATCATTTGCTAAGAGTCCAAGACCAACCAAAACTGGTGATCGAGATTCCTTATCAGACAAAGACGACTATTTAACCATATCTTCCACATCAGGCATCCAAGGAAACAGTGTTTTATCAGGTAGTCTTCCAAAATCAAGCCATGAGAAAGATCAACCACATGCAGATAATTCCAAAGAGAAAAAACGCAATTCTAGAGAAGAAAGTTCAGATTTTTATCAGAAAGATAAAAATATCAAATTTGAAACTCCTCCAGTTCAAAAAACAGAACTTAAAAAGTTCTCACCTCAGTCTAATTCATCAGGAAAATCATCGAATTCTCCCGTATCTGGCATGTTTATTGAAGATGAAAACGGAAATCTCTTAAATGGTAAATCGAAGAACAAAACACCAAAGAAAGATGCAATCCATTTATCAAGTGACTCTATGTCCGACTTCACCATCCCAGATTTGAAGAACAAATCTCGTTCACCAACAGAATCTTCCACTTACAGCCCAGAATCACAGAAATCCGATCAAAACAAAGACACAAATAAGGAACGAGATTGGAGTGATGTTCTTTCTAGTGACAATAGTTTCATGAATAATCGAAGTTCACAAGAAAAATCACCAAGTTCTAACGAAGAAGTTTCATCAGACTTATCAGAAAGTGATCATTCTAATTCAACAGTAAACAGTGATGACATGATCGAAAACTTTGTTTCTGCTTTGAGTGCCCAAGATTCCAGTTTCGAAAAGATCGGGAATAAGATTTCATCACCAGATTCCGACGAAAGAAATTCATCAGTTCTCTCAAACAACTCTCTTTTTAATGATTCAATTCCAGAAAATGTTTCCGAAGTCGAAGCAAAAATTGCTAAATCTAAAAATCATAAGAAGAACAAAACTAAAGGAGATAAACATGATGAATCAGTTGGTAATTCAATTTTATCAGGTGATTTTAGTAAATCTGCGAAAACACATGATTCCTCTGAATCTAATTCCATTTTGAGTGGCTTTGTAACAGAAGAAAATAAAACACCTTCAAAACAAAATAATACTAATAAGAGCGAAACAGAAACTAACTCAATTTTAAGTGGTTTTGGCACAGAAGAATTAAATTCGTCACAAAAAATTGGCAAAGACAAAAAGAATGAAACAGAGTCAGCAAGTAATTCTATTTTGAGTGGCTTTGGCACAGAAGAAATAAACTCACCAACAAAAACAGATAAATCTCAATCAAGAATAAACAAAGTATCTTCTGAACGAAAAAATAATAAATCTGATTCTGAAACTAACTCTGTTTTAAGTAGTTTTATCTCTGAAAAAAGTAAACCACAAAAACATTCACATCAAAAGAAAGAAAATGATAATTCATCATCATCAGAAAGTAACTCAATTTTGAGTAGTTTTTCAAAAGATCTTGAAAAAACAGAAGAAAAAATTGATAAAAGCATTGATCAAGATTCCAGCAGTTTCACAAGTGTTAACAGTAACATCATTTCACCAACTAAGAGCAAACAAAAACAAGATTCATCATCAGATTCAACAATTGATCAGAGCATTATTTCAATCAGTAGTTCTATTGTCAACAAAGAAAAGAATAAAGAACATTCAATTTTCTTGTCATCAGATAACGAAAATAAAGATTATTCAAGTTCTTTTGTCGAAATTGATTCAAATATTATGTCGCAAAACAAGCCAAACAACACAGTAACAAGTACAAGTTACATTGACATCGACAGTTCTGGTACAAATAAAAAACAAAACAAAGTTCAAACAGAAAGTTCATTCATCGAAATAGAAAGCTCTTCTTTATCACAAGCAAATAAAACAAACAAAAAACAACAACCAAATAATGTTCAAACAGAAAGTTCATTTATTGATATTGAAAGTTCATCAGTTTCAGTCCAAAATAAAGGACGAGTTTCCAAAAATGATGTTGATGCAGATAGTTCATTTATTGATATTGAAAGTTCTACTGTTAAACCTAGTAATGCAGTCGAAAGCTCAGATTTCATTGAAACTATTGACTCAGTTTCAAGTAAATCAAAAAATTCATTTGAATCCAGTTTTGTTGACAAATCATCAGAAAAAACAGAAAACTCATCAGATTTTGTTGAGATTGCTTCATCAGGATATGAACAAAAGTTATCTAGTATCATTGTTGAGTCATCACAGTATCCTATTGATGTCACAAACAAAGTCCAACAAGAAAGCGAGAGCTTCATCATTGAAGAATCGAAAGATATCGTTCATGGTAGTTTTTCCGATGATTTTGAGGGTACAAAAGAATCTCATCAGAAAAATACATTTGATTCTAGCGATTTCGAAACATGGGAAGATAGTGGTGGTTCTAGAAAAGCTCACACAGTCACAAAACCACCATCATCAGATTTTGATTCATTTTCATCATCTCGAAAAGGTAAATTCAACGGAGTTTTTGTTGAAAATGACTATGTAAAACATGTCAGTATTCAAGACATGAAGATTGATAAAGTCCATCATGAATACATCGATAACAAAATTCCTCAAAAGCGTCTTCATAAAGAAGATGAAGTCCAATTTTCTATGCCTCCTGCGAAAGAACAAAAACTTTCATACAAAAGTATCGAAACAAATGTTTTCGATCCATTAGTTTTGTCTTCTGCACGCGTTTTCGATGTCAATTCTCAGTATCGCAGAGTCCTTTCATCAGCCGGCGAGCGCACTGCTTTACTTCATCAGTCTCTTGAATCCTTCCTTGATACAAGAAGATCTCGCTCTAAGAAGAAAATCAGTCGAGGTGTTACACTTCAAGATGTCGAATCAGAGATTGAAGAAAGGATTAAGAACAAAGATAAGAAGAAAGGAAGATTTATCTATTAAATTTATATATCCTTATATATATTTTGTTTGTATGTAATTAAATCATATTATAATATTTTATAAAAATTCAAAATTGTATTTTATTATTATTATGTGATTTAATTGAAAAATTTTATTTCATGTCAAGATTAGTGCATTTTGGATGTTGTTGGAGGCCTAATCAGGTAAATACTTCAAAATTTAATCGACATGATCAATCCAGGCCAAAGGGAAACTCAAAGGGTTGTCCGGATTGATTACAAGGATCTTTCGTCGAGTTGTCCAAAAGGTTCTCCCAAAGTTGTTCCCATTGATTCTCCAGAGAGTCATCGAAATAAATTTGACCACGGGTAAAGTTGCCATTATCGTGATTTATATCTTCCTCGTGAGTAGCACAGGATGTAATTGTCGGAGTCTGGATTACTGCAGCTTCCACTCTGTCAGGGGCTAATTCAATGAGTGATCCAAGTTTATTAGTTTTTCCATAAGAAAACTTCTTCTTTGCAATCGACGAAGGTAAGTACATATAGTATCGAACTTCTTGGTTAATGACAACTTTAAAGAAGCATGTATGTCCGGAATAAGATTCATCACTGAAAAAGAGGAATGTGAATGATTTTTCATCAAGACTGAATGTAGCGAACGCGTTCTCTTTATGAAATCCATGATCATTTCCGAAATTCTTCAGAATCTCGTGATCACTCCACAATTCTTCTGTGAGTTCATCTTTATTGTGCTTGTCGTATACATCAATTGGGACAAGAGCTAATAATAATGGAGAGAATATTTCCCAATAGTTTGTTGCAAATAAGCAGAAGACGTCTGTGTACTTCCAAAATGAAGACTTGATTGTTAAGGGGTTGATTATGCAAAGAAGCATCATGATCCACAGGAAAGAGCACAAGTTCCTTATGTTATTCATTTTTTTCTTGAGTTCGAAAACCTGAGCGCTAACATTTGGGTCAATTTTCTTTTTAAGTCCCTTGATATCATTGTAGATTCTCAAGTTCTCTCTTTTGTCTCTTCTTGGCTCGATTTCCATGCTCTCAAGATACTGCTTCGGATCTTCGTTGCCATCAGTGATTGACATTCTAAAAAAAAGATTTTATTTTTTGTGTTGTTTTCAATAGACTTTGAGGTTTTTGAATATAATTCAGTTTTACATTCAATTTTGTTTTCAATTTTATATTCAACGTTAAAGTATATATTCTCTTTTTACAATGAATTTATAAGATTTGGATATTAAATGTTAAAAAAACTTTCAAAAGCACGTTTATATTTCAAATTATAATGATTATCATATTTGCATTTACATGATGCCATTAAAAACAAAGAATGAAAATTTAATTAATTAACTATTATAAATCGAAACACTTTTCAATTTTTTTCGGTTTGATGTTTTGAGAATTCACAAAAATTGAGATGGTAAAAAATTTGATTCTAAAGTGTAATCAATATTTTTGACGTCATATAAGTGTTATTGAGATATTTAATTATACATTTCATTGATTATATCATTTATCTGAGTCGATTGAAAACCTTGTTAAAATCTAGAATATAAAATACTATAATTCATAAATAGATATGCATTCACGATGATAATAATCACATTATTTTGATGTAAAATTTTCAAAAGTATTTTCTGAAGATTTTGTTTTATTGGTCTGACAGTTTGACACTTTCAAAATTTTTATGTATAGTCTAATCAGATTTTTATATGATGCTGTCTTTAATGCAGAATGAGATTTAATTATATATTTTATTAAACATAAGTTATTTTGTGAAAATTTTAACAAAGATTTCAATTGACTCAAATAAATGATATAATCAATGAAATATATAATTAAATATCTCAAGAACACATGTATGACATCAAAAATTATGATTACACTTTGGAATCAAATTATGAAATATCTCAAAAAAAAAATTAAAAGATTACATGAGAATAAACTTTAAAGGTTAATTTGATCAGTAATCATTTGAAAGATTAATAATATTGGACATTAAAAGAATAATATATGATATATAATAGAGAAATTGATGTCCGGCATGTTATATCTCTATCTATATCTATTGAAATTGTATTTTAATGGATTTTGATAGATAGTAATATATAATGAATTTTAATCATAATCGATAATAATTGAAGATAAACAATAGTTTACATGAGAATAAAAACATATAAATATGAAGGAGAAATTGGAAGGTTGAAATTGTTGCGGACTTTGCAGCTGAAAAGACCACATTCGTTAAGAGCTGAAATAGGAAGAAGAGATGTTTCAATAAGTTCTTCAATGAATCGTCGTTCTTTGTTGTCGATGAAGATACCGCATTTCAGAGACACGCACCCTGAGAATGCACCGTTCTCAATAACACTGAGAGATGATGGAATGTTGATCATCTTAAGAGATGTGCAGTTCGCGAATGCGAATGTGCCAATCCGTTCGATAGAATTGTCTGGGATAAGGATGCTCAAGATGTTACGACATCCGATGAATGCACCACTGCCAATAAGGCGGACTTCGTCGGGGAATGAGAAGTACTTGATCGAAGATGCTGGTGGGAAGCAGATGAGTGTCGACATGTTTTTGTTGAAAAGTGCACCGTTGAACACTGTGAAGAAGTTGCTAAGTTCGCAGCGGAACAAACGGAGACTTGTGCAACCTTCGAATGAACGATCTTTGATAGTTTCAAGTTTGTTGTCTTCTGGAATAATGAACTCACTGAGATCATAGCAGTTTCGGAATGAGTAGCTGCTGATAGTGACAACAGAAGAAGGAACACTGAAAATAGAAAGTTTTGTAGATTCGAAGCAGTTATCACCAAGACTTCGTACGTTGGCTGGAAGTTGGATGTTTGCGAGTTGTGTGCATCCTCGGAATGAAGATGGACTGATGTCGTAGAAAATGCTGTCTTCGGGGAAGATGACGTCCTTGACACCTGTGTTGAAGAAACAGTTCATTCCGATAGAGTTGAGTGAAGCAGGGAAAATCAACTGTTCTAATTTAAGACAATTCTCGAAACAATTGAATCCCAATGAACTCAATCCACTCCCAAATGTTATTGAATTCAATACTTTGCAATTTCCGAAAGAGTACTCATTAATACTTAGACTTACTCCATTAGAAAATGTTATTGTTGTCAACGAAGTACATGAATCAAATGCACTTTTCCCTATATAATTTAGAGAACTTCCGAATGTAATCGTTTTTAATGAATAGCAATTCTGAAATGCAAAGTTTCGATTCTAGTCAAACTTGTTGGAAGTGTGATTGTTGAGAAAGAAATACAACCTTTGAAAGCATTTGCCATAATTATTGTTAGTTTATTATTAGATTCGAAATTTACTGTTGTCAATAGTTTTGAGTTTGCAAAGGCAAAACTTGAAATTGTTGTAACATTCGATGGTAATGTAACTGATTCATTATCGGTCATAATTTGAATAACTGTGTTTTTGTATAAATCATACATAATCATCTGATCATCTAAAGACAATTGAGCTCCTGGAGCAAAATTTAATTTAACAGTTTTTGGAAATGCACCTCCTTCGAGCTTCTTAATTGTTGAAGGTAACTGAACATTCTTTAATTGTGAGCAGTCTTCAAATGATTGCTTAGCTATTGTTGTTACTCCCTCAGGAATAATAATTTCTGAAATTGGACATTCTTTAAATGTCTCCAAATTAATAGATGTAATATTGGATGAAAGTTTGACACTTGTCAGATAATAACACCATCTAAAGGCACCTTTATTAATAAATGTAACAGAGTCAGGAATTAAAATATCTTTCAATTTCGTAGTACTGAATGCATAATCTTCGATTCTTGTGATTTTATCATGAAGCTCGATTGATTCGATATTCGATGAAATGAAAGAGTGGGATCCTATTACAGTAACGAAGTTCGGAACAGTGAATGAAATGCTTCCACTATTTGGATATCTTGCAATTGTTGCTTGATTTTTTGAATACAAAATTCCATTATCTGATAAATAATTCTTATTCAAAGGATGACATGTGATAGACTTTAAATTTGCAACTCCTTCAATAACATTCCCATGGAAAAAGGTAACCTTTTCTGGTATATATATTGTTTCAATGGCTGTAAATGAAAAAGATTGAACATTAATGCTTTCTAGCTGAGAATCAGTTGGAATGTTTACTGTTGTAAGCTGGTGACAATGAAAGAAACAATAGTCATTAATCACTCTGACTTCTTTTGGGATAGAAATACTTTGAATAGAAGTATATGAAAAAGCATGAAGATGCATTGTAGTTAAATGCGTTGGAAGAATGACATTTGATAAAGAACTGGGGTTATCTTGGGTGCCCAAAAAAAGCCCCAAAACGATTATTTTGAATTGAATTTGGGCCTTTTTGGGCCCTAAGAAAGGGGGTGATAACCGATTGTTTTAAAAATGAAGCATTGCAATAACTCAATATATAAATAAACTAGGACTGAATAAATGATAATAAAATATTATGCATACATAGAAATAGTTGCTCTATAAACCGTAGCTCATAATTGACTACTTTTTGTACGAAATTGAAATTAATATGCAGAAAATATTAGAATGAGCACGTGATAGTTTTTGTATGAAATAATCTTTAAATGAGTAATATGATAAAGGACCTATATTGTTAAAAAAGAAGAATTCGTGAAATGAGCATATTCGGATTTCAATATATGAGTATGTTATATGGATGGTGAATGTATATATAAGTAGGTTTTGTGTTTGTAATTATAACTTGATGTGTGATTTTACAATAATAAAAGAATTACGTCAATTTGAAATCTCATTTTAGAAAAATATAAAGAATTTGATGAATTATATATTTACAAAGTTTTATTTTATGCATAGATAAGATAGTGATATGATAACAAGCAATTTCTTTCGAACATTAAAAATTTGATGTAGAAACAAGGATATTTGAAATTTATATTATAATATATAGATATGGATAAGATATATATAACTTATATTAAGGATTGCATCAGGAAATACTCTTTAAAACTGCTGAAAAAATGAACCTAAAAAAATAATAAAATTGAATATCTTTTCAATTTTGATGTATGAATAAAAATGTTTAAAATAATATAATTCTATATGAAATAATATTTTTTGTGATTTTGACGTAAATTTGAATTGAGAAGGGGGTATCAAAAAATTGATTTTAAAATTGAGTGGATAAAAAATAAAACTCTGAAACATGAACTGAATTAAATTAAATGCAACATTTTAATATTAACAAAATATCATTATTATAAAAATATTTTTCAAAGCCCAAAAGTGTCATTTCTCATGGATGACCATCATCAGCTATTCATTTGCTGATAAGGATACTGTGCATAGCATGATCCTGCCAAGATTTGATGCTGCGCTATCCTTATCAGCAAATGATTTCTGCATCAAATCTCAATTTGGTCTTTCATGAGTGGTTTGCAGATCAGAAGCGCAAGGCTTGTGCAGTCTATATGCTATGGCATAGCATATAGACTGCATAAGCATTGCGCTTCTCTTGATATTATTTTTACTTTAAAATTTACATGCACTATTTTACTTCTCTCTAGCCTGTTTAAGGTCACAAATTGCGTTTTTACACAAATATAACAGAGTCCTTTCGAGATCTCTCATTGAACTCTGTTATAATGCAATCTACATATGTTCACTGGCCAAACATGTGCTAGGGAATGTAAATTTAGTCGAATAAGACGAAGTTCTTCAGAAGTTTCTCATTCACTGAGAAACTTCTTAAGAACTTCGCCTTAATGTACTCTTGTTATTGTTCTTTGGTCAGGAAGTGGCTGAGGAAGCTGCAATTAATCGAAAAGGGCAGAGTTCTTCCGAAATCTCTCATTGAATGAGAGACGTCGGAAGAACTCTACCCTAAAGTAATATACTTGTGATGAGTGCTGTTTTGCAGACTAGAAAATGTAAATTTATTCGAATAGGACAGAGTTTTTCCGAAATCTCTCATTTAATGAGAGACCTCGGAAGAACTCTGTCCTAGTGTAATATAGTTGTGGTACTTGGCCCACAAAGAGCAAGAGAACATGTCTGTAATTCGTTTATGCTGAAGTTATCTGGATGTCTCTCAAATGAGGAAGAAAATCCAGAAAACTTCAGCATAAGTTAATGCAGATGTGGTTCTCTGGCTCTTTGTCGGCCAGAGAACGAATAAATAGTTTATTGGGTGAGTAGGCTCGATGCATGCCTACTCACTGAAAATATACGTTATTTTTTATTTCATATGAGAAAATAGTTTTCATTTTTATGATACCCTATGCATTGCTACACAATAAATCATCTATTTTTCATATTAAAACCTTATTTTTCCGTGTGAATCGGAATCTTTACATTCAAAAAATGCATCTTCCGCTATCAGAACGCGAAAATATGCACTACATGAGGAGATAAAGAGATTTCTTATATTTCTATATTTTCAAAATTTTCAATCTTTATCAAAACTCCAAAATAAACTGAACATCAAATAAAGGACATAAAATAACTTATATTTAACATGTTGAAATTTTCGAAAAATCTCCAAAAAAATCGCATTTTGAAATTTTCATAAATAAAAAACATGATTTTGAGCATGGAAAAAAGAAAAACAATTGAATGAGAAACTTCTGAAGAACTTCGTCTTATTCGACTAAATTTACATTCCCTAGCACATGTTTGGCCAGTGAACATATGTAGATTGCATTATAACAGAGTTCTTTCGAGACCTCTCATTCAATGAGAGATCTCGAAAGGACTCTGTTATATTTGTGTAAAAACGCAATTTGTGACCTTAAACAGGCTAGAGAGAAGTAAAATAGTGCATGTAAATTTTAAAGTAAAAATAATATCAAGAGAAGCGCAATGCTTATGCAGTCTATATGCTATGCCATAGCATATAGACTGCACAAGCCTTGCGCTTCTGATCTGCAAACCACTCATGAAAGACCAAATTGAGAGGTTATCGATTTTGTAATTTAATCGTCGTCGTTATCGATTTTGTAATTTAATCGTTATCGTCTTTTTCTAAACGTGCATTTTTACATTAAAAGCAATGCAACTCCAAAATTAATTGGTATTTAGACTTTAATTAGGTGCAGACAAACGAAATGCAGTCCAAATATTTTGGTGATATATGAATTACATAAATTTAGGGAAATTGAAATTATATCTTTTTAAATTTTTAGGAAAACAGATTTATAGAATTGTTTAAGTCATCAAAATAATGCAGACTTAGGTCAAATTTTCCAAATTTAATCATTTGCAAGACTTTCAAGCGACTTCAAAATGTCGAAATATAAGTCCAAAAATAAAATTACGATTACAGTCTATCCTCAATTATTATCACGCTAATTATTGAGTGACCCATGCGTTCGTATGTATGTAATACCTTTTAAAAAGGAGATGAGAGAGATAAACTAAATTTACAATTTAAATCTGATGTATTTACTTGTTACATTTACAAATGTAAATGTTTCTCGTAATGTTTACATTTTGTAAGTATAACAAATAAAAATGACGCACTTTTTTTACAAAGTCAAATTATGCGATACAACTTTACTTGTTACATTTACAAATGTAAATGTTTCTCGTAATGTTTACATTTTGTAAGTATAACGAATAAAAATGACGCACTTTTTTTACAAAGTCAAATTATTGTTCGATTTTTGCAGCTTGTAAACGATTAATTGTATAAAGCAATTGATATTAGCACGACATAACTGAATAATTCTAATATTGAAATCAAAAGCCCTTAAAATATCATGATATTTTAATTTCATAACAAATCTAGGAGACTATTTGATACAAGAAAAGTGAGACAAGAAACTGTTTCCTGAAGAATTAACTAACATAAATTGGGACTATAAGAAAAGTGAGACTATAAGAAAAGTGAGACTATTTGATACAAGAAACTGTTTCCTGAAGAAGCATTCGATAATAGGGGACTACTCAAGGAAATAACTGGTGAAGAAGAGGAGAATCCACCATACAAAGACACAAACATTGATGATGACAAATTTTTTGATTTGTTAGTAGTAGGATAGGACGGGGTGTGTGACTTTTTTTGTAAACGTAAGAATTCATACAATATCGAGCGATTTTGTATCATTTTTTTTAACATATGAAGTAAAAAATGTATGATTCTTACGTTTTTTAAAAGTCATGAATTTGTAAGAAAGTGCGACATTATTAAATAAATTAGTAATAAATATTATATACTAAACACATTAAAAAATTAACATAATGAAATAAATAATTTATTTTTCCATCTTTTATAAAAGAAGCTATATATAGATGATGTCAGATATTCCGCGATTAATTAAACATTGTTTAAATCCTGAATGGAATCAATGGAGTCATAATCAAAGACCTCATAAACGAGTAAAAGATTCACTACCATAATGAAATAAAAAATAAACTTTAAAAATTCATGTCTTACAATTTTGAATAATTTATTTTTATTTTGTATGAAATGAGTGTCAAAACTAACGACGTGAAAACATTAGGATTCACAAATGAGGAAATAAAGGATATATTAGAGGAGGCGGGTTATGAAGTTAGTAAATATTATTTAAGAAATTGTCAAAAATTCGCGAGTTTTAAATGAGTTTGATTATGATGGAAAAATGAATAAAGATGATGTTATAAATTTCTTATATCCCACATCTAAAGAAGAAAAACCTAAAGAACCTGATGTTTTCCCTGAATATTATGAAGAACGGATTAAAGATGATGAATACAATGAAATTGAAAGACTGGAAAAAATAAGAGATGAAATAGATGAAAAAATTAAGGAATTAAGAGAAGTTGAAAAATATAATGAAAATGAAGTAGAGGGTTTAATGAATATCCCAGCTTCAGAATCAGAAGTACAGAAATCTCATGAAGAAAGATATAAAAATTATGTCTCAGAATCAACACAAAATTTATTAGATGGTGAAATAGACGAAACACTTTCAGAAGAAGGTACTAAATTTATTCGTAAACATAAGTTACAATTTATTGATAATGAAGAATACCCTGTATCCTACTTTCACCACCTTTAGATTCCAAAAATTCAAAAAAGCTCTTAAAAACGTGACATATGCAACTAATACGATTAAGAAAGAAGATCATGATATTTACACAAATTATTATTTAAATAAATGCACAGGTGTTGATAAAGTTTTTGATTTATTAGATAAAATATCAAAAGAAACCATTGGAACCTATAAAATTTTGTGTGATTGTGGTTTCATTATTGAAGATACCAATAATGTTTCATATGAAAGAACAGCACCGAAGGAAGACGAAGTGGAAAGGTCTATACCATTCGTTATTAAGAACATAAAAGATATGAAAACTTATAAACATTATATTTATTCATTTATTTCAGAAAAAATGGAAGCAACCCATAAAACATCTTCTCATCATTTTATAGCTATTCATACATTCCTTTTCAAAGTTGTGAAATTAAATAAGACAGGAATTAGATTTAATGTATCAGGGTACGCATTCTTGAGTAAATTAAAATGTATTCGTCACGTCGCAGATGATAAAAATTTATGTGTTCTTAATTCATTTTATGGGCTTTAAAAAATAAACATTATTTTTTAATTTTTTATTCTTACATAAATGAACAAAAACGGAACAGCTAAAATGAATGATAATCAAATTAGAGCAGAAGGTAGAAGGTTATTTAAACGCTTCTATAACATTCCTGATGGTGTTAATCCTAAAACTCGTAGAAGTTATTTAAATGAAGCAATAGATTCATATGAAGGGTTTGACATTTCATCAGAAAGTGAGAGATTAGCGAGAATGTTAAATGTTAATATTGATTTCTATTATTGTGATCCTCAACCAGAAGACGTGGACATAAATAAGGTAGACTTTCCATTAGTGGAATCAATAATGATAGATCCAGAATTTGAAACAGTAAATATTTTATTAACACAGAGTCCATGTGGAAAACTTCACGCTGACAGAATAACAGACGTTGAAGCACTCACCGGCTATAGAGTTTGTCCATATTGTAAAGAAGAAGTTTATTCTATCCGTGATGATCCAGAAAGGAAAAACCAAAGAAGATTTTTAAAGCATTGTGAGAAATGTAAAGAAAATAATGGAAGATTAATTCAAGACGTTCAGTTGCAAAAGACACAGCAACCATATGCACCACATATTACGAAACAGAAGATATATCAGTGGTTATTAGCTCATAATTTGCAGGAATATTATCAACCGACAAGATATTATATTACTTTTGACTTCGAAACATTAGAGACTAAAGAAGAATTACAACTTTCTGAGTGTGCAACTTTGAACGCTTACTTAAAACCATTCATGGTATCATCAACGGTTAAATTAAACGATAAAACATATACGAGGAATTTTTGCTTAACTTCGAGTGATTCTTTTATTTCTGATTGGATTGAGTTTTTATTTTCAACCTGTTCATTAGTTGCTAAATCAAATATTGAACAATATGAAGAATTAATGAAGTCGCAAACATTAAATGAAAAACAGAAGGAAGCATTTAAAGAACTTCTAGATGAGGAATTCAATAAAGTGAATATCATAGGTTTTAATTCGGGAAAGTTTGATTTAAATTTAATTCTTCGTGATTTAAACACTGCAAAATGGAAAATAAAATCAATGCTGGGTTCATCTTCACAATTTAAGCAAATCATTGTAAAGAAAACAAACGTTCCATATGAATTGAGATTTATTGACATCAGAAATTATATAGCGGGTGGGACATTAGACCAATTCACTCAAGATTTCGGAAACAATAAATCACGTGTTAAATCCTTTTTCCCTTATCAATTCATCACATGGGAAAATTACGAAGAAGAATTATATAAAGTGGAACCATTCACGAAAGATTCATTTTATTCAGCATTAACTCAAGAAACTATATCAGATAGTGATTATCAAATATATCTCAATGATGCTAAAAACTTTAAGAATAGATTAGAATATTTTATTCATTATTGCAATAAAGATGTTGAAATTATGATTGACCCAATCGATAAAATTATTGAAGAAACATTTGTTTATAAAATTGATATGCTTCATAATCTTTCTTTATCATCGAATGCTTCAATGATTCGTTACGCTTTAGCATATAAAGACTTTAATCCTAATGAAAAATATCCTGAGGAAGAGATAGAATCAAGTTTTGAATTAACGAAAAAGTATTGGAAATATAAAATTGAATCATATAAGAAACAAGATGAAAAAGCAGAAAGGGATACTAAAAATAATGTTTCAATGGATGATTTTCAATACTATCACGATTTAATCCTTTCATCTAAATGCAAAATGTGTGGTAAAGCGTTTACATATGCAAATAAACCAACATTGGATAGAATCGATAATGAAAAACCACATACCAAAGAAAATTGTCAGTTAATGTGTTGTTATTGCAATGTCGTAAAATCAAATAAAGATGAAGATGTTCAACGTTTAAGAATCAATTTAAGAAATTATGCATTAAAAAATAATTTACCAATGACTTTAGATTCAGTTGAAGCTTATCACATTCTCCGTAATGGAATTACTGGTGGTCTATCAAATGTTCAACATAGAGTAAATCTTAAAGGAATCACGCACATTAATAAACTTTCATATAGTCCAGAAACTAAAACTGTATCAAATGAGGACACCACCAACATTATGACTCATTTCGTTGGTGTTGATTTTAATTCATTATATCCTTCATCATTTTCATCTAATCCTCATGATTTCATTCAATATACTGACCATAAAATGTATATGCCGGGAAGATTGAATGGTGTTATCATTTGTGATACAGCAACAAAGAAAGCAAAAGCACTGGGAATAATTAAGAAGAAAAATACTTTATTCGTGGCTGAAGTAAAGGATCACATTGATGAAAAATACATTAATGATTACATAAACTTTTTACCGATAATAAGAAACTTAGATATTATCACAGATGAAAAAACAATTGGCAGTTTTATGTATAATTACATGAAATCAAACAATCTACCAGTTGACCAGAAACAGAGGAAATTAACTCAGTTAGCATCAACACACAACCAATATCAACCATTTTCTTCTTATTATCTATGGTATCTAATAGATAGATTTCATTTTATCATCGATGATATTCAATCAATTTTAACATTTACTAAAAACACTTGTTTTAATGAATTTGCGAACGAATTTATGAACGAAAGACAAAAGGCTGAATTAGAAGGAAATAAAGGAAAAAGTTTATTTTGCAAGATTTCACTTAATGGATCATATGGTTACGATGCAATGAATACACAAAATTACGCAAAGACTAAAATAATGAATGCACAGAAGGCACGCGTTGCATGTATGTCAAATAAGTTTAAAAACATAAGAGAAATAGGAGAGGATACATATCAAGTGATGCTTAAAGATAGATTTTATAGATGTGATACGTGTTTACAAGAGGCATTCTTCACTTTAGATAATGCTAAATACTGGTATTTGGTTTTCATTTATGATTTTATGTATAAATGCATGGATGTTAATCGTTTTCATTTCATTGAAGGTGATACTGATTCATCTTATTGGGCAATCGCTGGCGACCCAAATCTTCCTAACACTCAAGCATTTCAAGCAATTGTTACCGATAAACAATTTTATGATAAAAACATTTTCAAATTCGCACCTTTTGATTTCTTCTGTTTTGATGAGAAATTTAAACCAAAATTAAAGAATAAAGCTGAAGAAAAAGCACATGAGAAAAAATTATTGGGTTTAGCAATTGAGAAACAAGGTGATAACATGGTGGCGTTATGTCCTAAGTGTTATACATCATTCAACGGTTCAATTGATGGAAGTGATTTTAAAAAGATTGCACAAAAAATGAAGGGTGTTAGTTTAAGACAAAATAAGCAATTAACACCTAAAAAATATTTGGATATAATAAATGATAAAGTGATATTTGATGGTCAGAATATTAATTTACAACTTAAAAACGGGTTAATGACTCGCTTAACAATCGGTAAGACTGCATTAACAGGAGCACACACTAAGGCCGTATGTTGTGAAAATGGATGTTGTATGCCATTTATTTAATACAATTTAAAATTTTATTTTTAATGAAATGCCACAGAAGAGACAAAAGGAACCAAATGGTTTTGATACTATGATTCAAAGAGGTGGGCACCCTTAAACATTTATTTTATTTTTATATAAATGAATAGCGTAGATTTAAAAATTTTAATTGATGATTTAGTATTTAATCAAAATTTTCTTGATTATTATGGTTTAAAAGCATATCTCCAAAAATATGATAACAATATAACGGGTGATGATATGGAATATTATTATCCATATTATAAAAATGAAATTTTGAAATATCATAATAAAATAATTTCTGAAATTAAAGACAAAATTAAAAATAATGAATATTCAAAGGGAAAAACTAAATCACAACTTAAACAGTTGAAAGATTTCAAAAATAAAGTATTAACAGAAGAAGATATTGATGAATTATATAAATTATATAATCCTGAGCCGCAAAAACCAAAGGAACAAAAACAAAAGATGCAAAACGCCCAGGTCCTTCAGACCATAAATGAAGCACAAGCTTTAATTTATGATTCATTAGTTAAATCATATTCAGCCCGACTTTTAAATGAAGATCAACTTTTGGAATTCATCCTTCAACATAAACTCGAAGCGGGAAAGTATATCAAACCTTTATATACAGCATATTTAAAACAAATGAATAGAATACATCCAGAATTAATGAAGGAAGGAATGAAGGAAGGAATGAAGGAAGGAATGAAATCCAAAATCAAAGCAGATAAAATTAAACCACTTGCAACACCAAAACCTCCAACGACAGTACCGCCTCCTCCTTCAGTTAATCCTTCATCATTCACTTTATTATATCCATTTCAAACATTAAAGAAGCAAAAAGATTTTAAAAAGGATTTCAAGATATTAAATAAACCAATTGACCCAAAAATTCAACCGTTAAAGGAAAAATTTAGTCGCCCTTCATTTGCTCCATATCCATATTCATACGAAATCGATCATCTGGAATATTCAAAAGGAAACGTTACTTATTTATTTGCCATTAACATTAACACTAGATATTTATATTGCATTCCGGTGAAAGGGAAAACAGAACAGGAAACAAGAAGAGCTATACAATACTTACTAGATCATGAAAGAGTAGATAATATCAGGGGTGATGGTGATAAAGGATTTCAGGCAGCTATGGCTCATTATTTCCCACAAATTAATTTTTTCTTTTCATCCTCTCCATATACGTTTCATAATAAAATAGTTGATGCGGTAATGAGAACTCTTAGAGATGCGTTAGGGGTTAACGGTCAGATATACTGGGATGGAAATCATGACTCCATCATACAACAGTTAGTATATTATTACAATAATACATGGCATAGAACAATAAACATGAAACCAGTGGAAATGAAAAATGATATTTCAAAAGAATGGGAATATATTAGAAAGCAAATGGAAAGGTTAAATGATGTTAAACGTGAACAAATTAATTCGGGGCTCATGAATTTTAAACAAGGGGATAAAGTTTTGATTCATCTCGATTATGGAAAAACTGATAAATCAATGACAAAAAGAAGACGAAGATTTGACACAATAGCTGAATTTGTTAGATATATTAACGGCAATGCATTAGTTGAAGTTGACAATAAATTAATAGAAATTCCAATTTATTTTATTACTCCATTATATTTAAATAATATTTAATTTTTTTATTTCGTAAGAAATGAGTGACAACAAAGCATCCAAGAGTCCAGACGATGAATATAAAAAGAAACTAAACAGAATTAAATCAAAAATATGCTATTACAAAAAGAAGCCACAATGCGGTGGGGTTGAAAACGATAAAGAAATAATCGAAAAATTAGAAACTTATCGTTCAATCATTAAACTGAGTGAAGCAAAAATAAAAGAATTTAATAGAATCAATAAATATATTGGAAGAGATGAATTTAATAAAGATGAATTTTTAAACTCAATCCAAATTTAATTTTTATTCCTCTTTGACAACAACACAGGAGGAAGGCAGTTATGAATTATTTTTGAAGAACTGAAGGTGCTACCATGTTACCATGTGCTACCAGGTAATTAACTTCTCTGAAAAAATGAGACAACATGACATTTAGACAACAACACAGGAGGAAGGCAGTTATGAATTATTTTTGAAGAACTGAAGGTGCTACCATGTTACCATGTGCTACCAGGTAATTAACTTCTCTGAAAAAATGAGACAACATGACATTTAGACAACAACACAGGAGGAAGGCAGTTATGAATTATTTTTGAAGAACTGAAGGTGCTACCATGTTACCATGTGCTACCAGGTTAATTAACTTCTCTGAAAAAATGAGACAACATGACATTTTGACAACAACACAGGAAATATAATGCAGTCCAAAAATAAAGTTAGTTTTAAAGTTATTTTTATTTTTTTATTCCTATATAAATGACAGCAACAAACAACAACAGCAACTATATCGTTTCTGATGAAAAAGTTATTGATTCATTAGCTGAGGAATTAGTTGTGGCAGAAACTAAAACCCTCAACGAAAGAATTGGTGAAAATAAGATTGATTTACATAACTACCTCAAACATGATGGAGGAAGAGGAAGGAAAACTGGTATGGCTTTATTAGTAAATAAAATTTCGAATTTAACGATTATAGATGTTGATATCAATAAATCATACAATGATGAACTTAAAGAAACAGTTAGAAAAGACATTTTATCAAAACTTTCGGATAAAGATGTTATCGTTAAAACCGCTTCAGGAGGTCTTCACATTTATTGCAACACTAATTTCTTCTATGCAGTTTCGAACAGAATGATTAAATGTTATTCCTGCAATGATTATGATATTGATATCATGACTTCTATGGATGATTCAAAGCGTTCTTTCGTGGTTATGGCTGATTCAAGAGTTCGCAAGAATGCAACAGAACCAATCAATACATACTCATTCATTCGTGGAAGTTATGATTCAACATTAACTAGAACAGTGAATGATATATTAAATGATTTGAATATTAAGGTAAGAGTTGAACAGAAGAACGAAGAAATAAAGACTATCATGAATGAAAACAAAGATGTAAACATTGACGATAAACTTGCCCAGAGCATAGTTGATGGCATCTGTGATTTTGAAGTACATAATGACGGTGGAAACAGGAATTTAGAAAAAGAAGTTACATTATTCACACTGTTTCAAGCTATTAATTCGTTACCTAATCATTTAATTAATGAAGCATACGATAACGTTTATAACTTCTGCAATTTAACAGAAAATGCAAAAAGTAATTTTGAAAAAGCACGTAGTAGATATGCACATTTAATGA